GAGGTAATCCGAAATCTAAAATATTGAAGAATCTATACTTTTCTACAATACAGACACTTTTATATTAACAAACTGTTTCAAACCAATATAGATAACGAGCGACAAACACAGACCGACGGACAGAAAGTCCAAATGGCGAAAATTTAATGAGTTAGCCCCTTTACCTATCTATTAGTGAAAACAGAATTGGAAAACCGTTCGCGAGTACACAGACTAACGGACCGAAAGTCCAAAATCATAAACGAAGTGGGTCGCTTGTTCATAAAGGCTACGATTTGGAACATTCTGTCTCTCCGTCCGTCTGTGTGCATGATAGCTAGCGAACGGTTTCGAATTTTCCCATTCTGTTTTCAGTGCTTAATAGGTTATCAATGGTCATGGAACTAACTGCTTAAACTTTCTATCCGTCCGTATGTTTGTCGCTCGTTGCCTATGAAACAATTTATTCGATAATCGAATGGACGAAGGGTTCTATCCGGTTCTATCGGAACGTGCTACTTTTTTTTTAGCGGTTTTCTCGTCAATATTTTGACGTTAAGGGTACGATTTTCGGTTGATTACAATAAATGGGTATTTTGCGCATTGGTTGCGTGTAATCAATCAGTTTACTGGCAATTTTTTTAAATTGTTAATAACTAAGTAATGATAGCATTAAGTGGCGTAACAAAAGGATAATATAAATCATCAAGGTTTTCATCTGAGGGATGTACTAGATACAAGTACGGCACAGATCAGTTTTTGAATGATATCCAATCAAAGAGGGTTCACTTCCCGCAATCCCCTGGTATAGCTAATCAGTCTCCAGCTTGTAATGCTAGAGTCACCTCAAAATATTAACCTCAATTTCAAGAAAGCCTTTATTTCAGTATGGATGTGCTTCAGGGAGTAGTGGGAATAGTTTAAAAAATAAATTGTTCAGAAACGGCATTTTTTTATTTTTTGATATCTTTAATTAAAAAAATACCCATTGTAAGTTTTCAAAGGCCCACACGGTATATACAGTGTATATACAGGCATAGATCACAGTTTTTGAATGATATCCAATCAAAGAGGGTTCACTTCCCGCAATCCCCTGGTATAGCTAATCAGTCTCCAGCTTGTAATGCTAGAGTGAACTCAAAATATTAACCTCAATTTCAAGAAAGCCTTTATTTCAGTATGGATGTCCTTCAGGGAGTAGTGGGAGTAGTTTAAAAAATAAGTTGTTCAGAAACGGCATTTTTTTATTTTTTGATATCTTTAATAAAAAAAATACCCATTGTAAGTTTTCAAAGGCCCACACTGTATATACAGTGTTGTGATGTAATAACGTACAAATTCAATAAAAATGAAATGAAAGGGTGTTCGGAAAGACGCTCGGACCAGTCAATTTTGTTTTTGGATTGCGCATGTTTTGACTCAAAATGTAGATATACAGGGTGCCCCAAAAAAACGCAGCAAAAAAAATATGACGGCAGAAATTGCAATATCCGTAAGGAAATTTCAGTAATACATTTTTTAAGAAATCTGCGAGAAATATCGACCCTTTGCAGGTAGTTCAATTGCAATCGATGCAGTTTTGACGTCTGAAATTTCATTCATAATCTGAACTTTAATCGCGGGGTCGCAGACTGGTGGTTAGGGAAATCTCCGGGCAGTCCATGGAAATCTCAATGCCTAATCCGAATTTTGAACCACCGCCATTCGAAAAAAATCGTGATTATAGTAGGGGAGCCTAATAGGGGAGGTTGAGATTTACTCGAGCGCATCAGATTAAAGTAAGGTGGGTTGACTACGTGTTGTAAAGTGTGCATTTCAATAATCTAACGATTTGAGCGTGACGTAAGGGAGTAGGAAGGCCACAAGCTCTAAAAAAAACACGTTACCTTGACAACCTCGAGCGCCCACCATACAAACTGGCAGATTAACACACCTCCAATATCAGAGACACGTGGGGCGCATACACTATCAATATCTAGCGCGCTCGAGTATTTTCATGTGACTATTTGTATTGTACATTATTAAAAAAGTTTAGATGCCCTGTCCATCGTATAACTTTCTCTTTCTACCATCTAATATGCAAAGTTCAGTGGGCCCCTACGACACTTGAGTAAATCCCACGTTTGATTTCCATGGCAGTCTATAGAAATCGCAATGTTCATAACGAAATAATAGAATATGTGACGTGAGTTCAGATGGCACTACTTTTTCTCAAAATCTGCCGCATAAACGGTCAACTGTCTCAGGACTGTGAAACTAAAAAGGCACGAGATACTTTACAACGGTTAGTTCGTAGGGCATAAAAATCTTCGTAACTTACCACGAGGGTGAGCGCCACCGCGTTTCTTTGAAAGGGAAGATGGCAAGGAATGTAATTAAGAAGTAAGGGTATATTTGTCCTCAACAAAAATGAATATTACTTCCTTAAACTTTAATACTTAAATATAACTCCTTAAACTTACTCCCCCACTTATATCCATATATCAAGACTTGAATAAAACTCTAGTAGGAAGGGAGCTCTGTTCCTAGGCAACAATTCAATGTAAAACACAAAAAAAGAAAATGCACAACTCGAGCTAGGTGACTCCGTAATTAAATAACTCCTACTTGAAGAGCACAACAATTTCTTGTATCCAGATTCACGATATGTTAACAAATCACAGAGATTGGAGTACTAAAACAAATTGTAACACGTTTCAAATTAAATCAGTCATAGGTTACGACAGTGGATTACTAACTTTCAAGAAAATCAACGTCGTATAATCCTTGAAGAGGAATTATCCACTAATTACGAACTTGTTTATTTCCATATTAAATAAATTATCCTAACTGACTTAACGTCTTATCTTCATTCCCAGCTCTGCTTGTACCAGGTTAGTCCAATGGGAGGTTGACTTTGCATCCGCGTACGCATTCCATAAAATATCACTGATAAATTTAACACAGGAAACTAAAACCCAACCAAAAATAGAAACCCTGAAAGAAATCACATGGCAATTCCCGTCGAAAACAAACAATTAACATACCTCCAATTAATAAGTGGATTATTACGACCACGATTGACTTGGTTCAAACTCCATATAGAGCGAAAAAAAGGAGATAACCATTGATTCGGCAAATGGCGGTCACTTACGTATTTAATAAATACAATTTGAAGCCTCCAGAATGCGAGAAAAATGTATCACGATCCAAAAAAATCCGATAATCTGATAAACAATCTTACTTAAAAATTTGCAGACGTCTATCAACGTGCTCGCAAAATCATAAATCGAAAGAAGGTGAGCTACAGTGCGCATTCCAAACTCGCCTTAAGGACGCACCAATAGAAATTCGACATGACGAAATACGATACAATTTGCAAAGTACGGTGGTTCTTGAACAAAAATTACCGCAGTTTTTGCATGGAATCAAGAAGATCACTTGCAATCATACTGAAATCTCCTGCAGAAAAGTCGTAAATTGATTTCTGTGGTAGTCGCAATTTCCTTGACCAGTGGAAATGAAATCGTAGTATGTTATTGAAATGCTGCAGTCTGCGATCACACCGTATCGTTTGAAATTGACGCAGTTTAACGCCTGAAATCTAATCCGTAACATGAGTTTTAATTGCCGACAGTCGCAGAAATCGGGTTATTACAAGGGAAACGGTGGAAAAACTATCAGAAGAAAATGTAATCGAAATTTGTTCGCCATTAGAAATTAGAATTCCATTTCATTATCCATAAGTCCAATGCAAAAGAAAGCATTTTATTAAACAAGATAAAAGGGTCATCTAGTTTCCTCTGGAGAAAAAATGCGTTATGCTGTTTTCTTAAAAAAATTGGTAACAGTAGCGCGTTTTTTTTATTTTTGCAAGAACAAGTTGGTTCAGCTCATATGCTCTTTTTGGAATTCCGCGAGTGCAAAACCACAAAAAAACCAATAATCATGATCATCACTCGTCAGCGCCTGATCTGACCAAAAATGTGTATTACAGGCCGGGATTTTAGGCATTTGTATGTAGTGGAAGTTTAGTGGAAATGTCGCGAAAGTTCGAATCGGAAAAAGTAATTGATCCATGCAAACATCTTTCCGGACTGACGCCAAAACTGTTCCAAGGAACGTTGACCTGTGAGAGTTTTTAACTTTTCCCTTGCGTCTTTAACTTAGAAGTTGCACGTCTTTTTCTAAGATGTCTAACATACTCTCTTTGGTGGAGAAACAGAGGCCGTTCTTCTATTGGACTTGCCACCTCAGATTGTACTATAATCCTCTAATCAAATTGCTACAAAAAGTCGCAAACGCTTCTATCTTTAGCTATAAACGTGATAATGAGACTATACTTTGAACTGAGCTTACTGAACTATAATTCGATTTTTTATCCCATTACATTGGAATGCATACGCAGTATTGAACTTTTCCGCAGTTCGAGTGCGCGCTATCGCGCTTTTTATCTCACCAATTTCATTTCCCAAACCGCAAAGTGTCTCGTGCCTAAATTATCTCGCCCAAATTACTCTTGGTTTGTTCCAAAATGTTTGGCCCTGTCCGTAACCTACGCCGCCCATAGCCTTGGCCCGAGATAATACGCTAATTGATATTGGAAAAATATGAGTAAAGTGCTAATTACGATTTGGAGTAACCGATTGACTGCCATTCATCGTTTTATGGCGTGGGTGCTCGCGTTCGTGACGACCTTGTATAAACAAAACTCTTTACTGGCTTGATTTCAGTTAGCTTTAGTTTGTTTGTTGGTGTTAACATAAAGTGAGACGTCGATGATCCGCTCCGCGAAATTACCAAACTTGGACCCAACCGTCGAAACTTAAGGTAACTCCATTTTTTGACCTTTAATAAACCGCACGCCAGTATTGAACCGTACGAATTTTCTAGGCCGCGAAAATCAATTGCCTTTCCCTGAAAACCTCCTGTTTGTTTAGTTTATCTTAGAACTCTACCTGACGAAATCTTTATGATAAGATACTGACGGATTTCGGTATCAGTACATGCTGTGTCGTATTACGGTTCGGTTTAGTTTTTCCTCGTGCCAAGTGACAGTTTTTCCCAAATTTGGATGCGTTGCTGAAGCGCAATGTTCTACTCCAGTTTTAACGAGAAACGCAAAAGATTCGAAAATGATCCGAAGAGATCTTCCCTGGAGAGGCGAAGGAAGGCCCTCTTCGCCTCACTTGAGTCTTTAGATTTCGATCACGATGTATGTATTCGCTTCGCCTTGACATTTTCATTACTTACAGGCGGCAATGAGGTTAATGTAACTGTCGGGTCGTTTGAAGTGCGTTCGAACAACACGCTTATTATCACAATGTCCTGTTTAATTCTAATTTTCTTGACGCCACCGATTTGTTAGTAGCCTTTGATCGATCTTTAATTTTACGTTGCGGGTTTCCTTCCAGTTTTGCCATTGAAAAATCCAGAAACACTTCATTGCTTCATGGGTTTGGCTCAATATATCTTACATGAAGATTTGAAAGGTGTGATTCAGTTTTAGTGCCATTATGACTCTTCCATTCGCAATAGACCAATAAAAAATAATAACTGATACCAGGTCTAAAGTTCCTCGAACTGCTTCATCATGTTGATAATAATTGGGAACTTTAAATAGACTTATTCACCATCTCGATTCGAGTTCGAGCACCTGCGTAAGTTTGATTATTTGTTTCAAGCTTAAAATAACACATCCCACTTTGGGCTGTTGCCCTCTTAGCAGTTCGATACCAAAGCAACTATACTTACTGGATTTATATTATTAGTGAAATTTTGACTGCAAGGTACGATATATGCAATTGTGGTGGCGTTGTCAGATTCTTTGCATTGGAGATTGAAGAAATCATTTCACCATCAGCTACATTTTTGCTTTCCCGCACTTGTTTAAGCAAAATAGCGAAGCCTTTCGACAAATTGCGTTTTTCTTTCAAGAAATTTCTTTCCCCAAAAGTTTGCCTACTACGAAACTTGCTTTTCCGTGCCAATTTCGAGACACTTTTTGGAACCATACTCCCGAACTCGTTGGTAAACAATGCCAATGATATAATTCATCGAATTCGACACCAAAATATCGTAAAATGTCACCGTTACCTTGGTTTAGTAGTACTTATAAATATAGATTTCGATGAATTCATTTGTAGTCACTAACCTTCCAGTGTCACAACCTCTCTTGAGAATTGAAGCATTTCCTCGGTCGCTTACGGTTTCCCAAGAATTTTCAAAATGAAACTTTTTCGGCCAAATCGCTTGGTGCATCCCATGTGCACTTTTGATATTTTTAGACAAAAATTGTATCATATACTCGTTTGGTGAATGAGTTTTATCCAACAGCTGATTGTGTATTATTAGCTGGATGATGTAATTTGAACTGTTATAGACAAATTATTACGTTTACTTGTCTACGTAACAGTTACGTATCAAACGTGATGTCACAAATTCTTAAAAGATGCAATCATTTATTACTCAAATTATTTTTTTCGATAAATTATCGCCATTTGCATACTTGTCGGTACGAAAATTATTACTCATCTATTATTACCGATTGATATCATGTAAACACTCGAGAGCTGAATCATCTTTTTTATTTACCCGGTTTTTTGGAAACCATTTTTAACGAAATCTCTTCGTTTTCAGATGGCGACGGATTTTTCAACGGAAAACACAAACGGCACCGATATTACAACGACAATGATGAATTTGAAAAACAATTTGGCACCGAGAGGCGTAACCGTTTCCACAACATCTCAGGTAACCAACTTTTCCGGATTTACCCGATTTTTTGTTTTATAATCATTTAGATAACTAATCAAAGCTGCTGTGCCGTGCAGGAATGCGAGGTTAACGATTTTTACTGCATTATTTTAGTTATGAAACGTTTGCAATATTGCTTTTTGTAACAATAGCAATTTCGATAAGAAACGTTTCTACGTTTTGGAGTGGCGACAAAGGTCGAAACTTCAATAGTTTATAACTTGCGCGAGTGTTATTTCAACATCTTATTCAAATTATATTTAAATAATTTCGCCATTATAATTTGTTTATAAAGCCAATTATAGTAGAATTCGATTATCATTATTAATTCCTACAGATTAATTATTGTTGGCATTGATTTGTCGGCTTTCATCTGAGATGAATACAAATGTTTCTTGTGTTTGCTAATTAGTTGGTGGTTCGAATTTTCGAAATTATTTGGTAACCAGTCAATAGGTCACAGTTTTCTTTATTTCCTCTTATATCTAAATAGAAAATCCAGCCCAACTGCCCCAATTTCTCTTAGAATTTGTAAAAGCTCAGAATTACAATGAATCAATTGATTATTTTTGACCTAATGTTTTTCCTTATATTCCCTGCCATATCGATTTCATTGTATTTCCAAGATATTTCTTGGCCTAATTGACACTATTGAAAGTTGTGTTAAACCAAAAACGTAGAATCCTTTGCGGTTTCGGTGTTCTCATACCACGGGGGGAAATTTGCACCTTGTCTCATGGTCTTGACTCTTGAGAGAAATCTATAACGGTAGGTAAATAATCATGCAACCTGGGTTTGTTTCTCATAATCGATCCCGAAATCCGGAGAAGACCTAGCAAAACTGCCTGTTTACCTAGGTAGTTATTCATCAAAAACAAATTTTTACATCTACGCTTTGATTGTGCAAAAAATTTGTAGACTTCGTCTTTTAGAGCTACAAATCTGTTAATGGGAATTTACTGGCGCATGATTGTTTTCGCGGTATTACCAATAACCAGCAGTTACTTGCAGTTCCATTTTAAAATTACCTATTTCGTTCATGGATCTTGTTCTCCCCGTACACCTGTAATTGACGTTGGAAGATTTTTCCAATATCAAGCAGGGAATTTTATCTGCTACAACTGCGCACGGAACCTAGTATACAAAATGAAATTTAAGTACCCGAATCAATAACTACAAATTAAAAGCTTTGGGGATAGTACAGCCTAAACCGCTGCAGCCAACAAAACACAAATCTGTACGTATATATGTACCGTAAACCGGGACACGAAATCACAGAAATCTAAATCTGATCTAATTCTAAGCACCCACAATTGTATAAAAAAACCATTGAATACTGTTCCCTGCACTTTGAAATCACAACCAACCCTTACACATCTAAATGGCATAATAGGGTCGGCGACATCGTTATAAAGGTCTTCACTTCTTGAATTATTTGCAGCTGCAATTTTTTCAAATTGGTCGCCTAGTTTTCAAAATAAATGCTTTAAAGAATCTGAATATAGAACGTTGAGAAATTTCATATAAATGCTGTTTCTGATTTTGAAAGAAAAATCTACCCTTGAGGAGTTAAGAGGGTTCTAGAAAGTATTCCGAATTCGAGTAAATGTGGTATCATGGTATATTGGTCCAACCAAGAATAGCACCTGGTTTTTTTTCCAATTTTCAAATTTCGTCGAGATTAGATTTTTTCGTACTCTCATACAGGGGTAAATCATTTTGGGGTAGTCATTTTGGAAATATTTTTACAAAGAGTCATACCAACAAAACCTAGGCAATCAGAGACGCATATTTCATGCTTCTATCTGAGAAAAAAATTAAAGAAGAATCGCGAAGTTTGCGTCGTAGGTTCCACACGATACCGATACATTGCAAAGTAGGCCGATATTGCGGTGTCGGCGAATTTGTTTTTTGCAAGATATCTTGATTCGAAAAAATATATGAAATAGAAGGTATTTATACCGGAATTTGACATCACATATGGTTTTTTACTTTTTCTATCTATGCATAGGGTGGTTCAAATTCGCATTTCACGCGATATTGAATTTTTCTGAATGAGATAGATGAAAAAAGAGAGTAGTGGACCAAATCCATTTTAATTCAGCAATATCTAGTGTTATCCGTGGATGTTTTATTGTGAAATGAATGTAAAACTTTTGATTTTGAAATTCTTCTTGTAAACTTATGTAACAGTATGACGTCTTAACATTATTTCTCTTTCTTATCCTCTATCTCAATCCGTAAAAATCCAATATTGCGTCCATAAGAAATAAGAAAATAGTAGATGTTGATTCTAGATCTAGTGTGCTATAGGAATTTTGATAACAGATTCAGTCCCCATAAAAGGCGCTATAACGGGAACCGTTCATTTCCGACGGGAAAATGAAAACGAAATTTGACATTTTCAGTTTTTCGGTGTTATCTTAGTTGTTTTCAAACATTACAAATGCGTTTTTTTAGTCGCAAATACGGGAAACTTTGCCCCCATTTAACCGACAACTTACACTGTATCTCTCATATGAGATTCCACTGGTGAGCAACGAATTGGAACCGCCCTGTACAGTTTGGAAAAAGCAACTTGGAAACTGAGAAATCAAAAATTGTGCTTGGTTTCTTTAAAAATATGCCACTTATTATTAAAAATATCGAAAAACCACAAAGAATCGAAGTTATAGTCGAATTTTATCCTTTTCCCACACTAACAGGATTTTGCCTGGGTTCTAGCACGAAGTTGTGCTTTTTGAAATTAAACGTACCACAATGTTTGCACTGTGGTTTATACAAAAAAATCAGAGTTCCGTGGCATTAAAAAAAACACTCGTCACCTTCAAAACAGCCCAACAACATGGAAAATACGTAATATAATGCAGAATTCGAGTACTTATACCCAAATAACGTCCATTTGTTGTTTGCGTGGTGTTTTAAAAAATAGGAGTGATATCACGCACAAACGAAATATGCCATTTATAAAAAAATTCGGTTTCCACGTTATTATTTCCTGTCTGAAAACCGTCAAAGCGGTAAAGTATGATCAAGCATGAGTCCGTTTCCTAATATTCCTACAGATAACAGTTATTCCTAGCAAGACATTGGAATTTGAACACCCTGTACAATATATCTTGCTCTCAATTACGATGGAAAGTTCTTCCTCGTGCGCATCGAGACAATATGTTTGCCATTTTCCCAACGAAATTGATGACTTATTGCACTACCTACTGAAAGAGAGGAAAATAGATTTTTCTTTTTCACCACGCAAGATTTGAATCATTAATTTGATATTCTGGGAGAAGTCGTTATGGAGATATCGACGAATACAGACAACCTGCAAGTCTATGTGAAACGATCTTATGTGGAAATTCATTTTGGGGCGTACTATACCGTTATGAGAAAACTTTGATTGAACGCAACCACTTGAGACACTTTAACCCGTGAACGTGAATTTTCCTTGGAGCAAGTTGAAGGTGAAGGAATAGACCAACGGGAGCGAAATTTTCGCTGGCCAATTTTCCGAGACGAATCTACCGGGGGCGAATCTTCGGAGGGTGATTTTCCGGAATGTATATTCTTGGGGCGAATTTACCCGGGGCATATGTATAAAATAGATGCATGTGCACACGTATAATTACCTATATTTTATGATGTTCCGCGATTAATGGCCTATTAGAATTAGACGATCGTTTTGCCATAAATAAAGCGTATATTAAGTTAGGCAAAAAGACATTCAGTAATACTGTAACGTACATTTGATTACGTGATTTATTTTTTACAATTAATTAACAATACATTTATAACAGTTTTGAAATGAATTGAGTTGTAACAGTTAAAATATTATTTATCACTCACACTCACAATTTATAACTGCGCGAACTATTTATTATTTCGGCGTTGAAATTGTAACCGTCCTGAATGGCAATTCGATTTGCTTATATAGCAAACTTGAGTGTCCCTAGAAGCCCTTTTAAATTAATTAGAGCCCTATGGACGAATTTAAAAATTATTAATAGTAAAAATGACAATATTGCGATCCCTTCAAAATAACATTGAAACTTTAAATTTAAAGGTTTGATTCCTGCATTGGAATTACACATATGTAAACAATTCAACTTTCTTTTCATTATAAAATCACATTCTAACTGTGAATGGGATTCACTGTTCACGTAGTAGTAGTAGTTTGAAGAGATCGTCCCAGTTTACCGGTATGCATTCGTCATTTTCAGCTTTGGGTGACGTTTTTTCCTCGACTCACTCATTTTTGTTTTGCTCAGTTTTCGCATCAATTCTTACCACGTTTAATCCGACTCAGTGGAATTTCCCGAATTACGTTTTCGTCTTCTTTTTTGCCTTACTCCCATTATTTTCGCAAAACTATAATGTCATTTTTACACTTATTGCATTCTGTGGCCATTTTTGAAAGGATCATCCGACAAATGGATCATATATTCGTCCAACTGGCAACTGTATGAAGACAAGCTTAAGTTTTGTTGAGCACAACAAGACCTAGATATTGTAAATAGAGTTATGATCTAAGAAAATTCTTGTGTCGTAATTGGGTGTTTACAACGCAACGGGCACCTGGAGTAGGTAGATACGCCGAAAAATTGTTGCCAAGTTTTGACATCAGACGTGACTCAAAATACGTAGTGAAGATCTGTCTTATATATACAATCTGGATACGCAAGTGTACAGTATATTTTTTGCCACGAACTGCTAATGATCACCAAGAGAACGTTTAGCAAAATTAGAATCGATAAACAAAGCGCGTTAGTCGATTTCGAAAAACGAAAAAAAGAGGGTAATTTGGAGTCAATCCAGATTAAATATAATTCAAGCATCACAATACCTAAAATATCACATGTCTCATACTAGTTCCTTTTAAACCAGTTACAGTCAAATTCTCACACCAGTACGACTACAACTCGAGTTGCCAAATCATCGGTATCATCCTCATCGACCACATCGAGTTCCCAAAGGGTTCACCTAACATCGACGTCATCGACAGACCGCAAAGCCTCATCAATGAAATCGGACTTGAACGAGCTCAAAAACAACATGAACGAAATGAAGAACCTATCGAACATCAACGCCCTGAAGAAACTACGAAGCTCTTTGGAAAATTTGGTCGACGTCGAAGATAACGACATGACGCAACCGTTAGTTTCCTTTCCCGATTCGGACACGCCACCACCGTCATCCGAGTTAGCGTCACCGACATCGAATCTGGACACCGTCAAATTCGAACAGAAGACCGTCAATAACTTCAAAGCGAGCAAGGTAAGCTATTTCGGTACGGATAAAAATAATTTTCGCGATCTAAAAATAATATTCGGAATTCCAAGCGTTTGCTACGTGATGTCATCCCATTCTTGCTTTATTATAAAACAATTAATTCAAACGAAAAACACTACGACCTACTTTACCTGCCCAAAACATAGCCTCATTTTCAGACATGTTCTGCAATTTAATTATTGGACAATTTCTTCACGCTGTTAAGTGGGACAGGGTGGTGTCGAAACCTTATATTTTGTTTTAATATTGCAGATTCTCGCAATTTAAATGAAAAATTATGTTATCAGCTCATTAATTGTGCAGTTACTGATTTACTAGACATTATGCTTCACGTCACGCGCGTATATTGCCAGTTAAAAATATATACTTACTCCATTGCGGTGATTTCCCATGAAAACCTTCTACATGTACTTATATTGTTGCAATTTTAGGTGGTTAAAGATGGATTCAGTGCCGAAAAAGCTAGTGCCAATTGTGCCGAAGTCAAAAGGATGCAGGCCGGAGAACTGTCATACCAAGAAAACAGTGCTGCTGCAGCATCGCACGCTCGTCTGGAAATCGACGGCGTTTCGGCCGAGAAAAGCCATCTTCATGCAAAGGTCGGTTTTTTTCTATTCTGGTGTTGCTAAAAAAATAATTCGGAAATTGCTTCGCGTACCTACACAATATTTTTTTTGTTTATCCGCTTACGTAATTAAAAACAATAAATTAAAATGAAGGACGTTGAAGTAGGACAGTAACATTTCGTTTGATGGTTTATTTTCCCATCACATTATGTATTTATTATGCGTTTTTCAAAGTAATTTTTTTAATTAGGCTGTTTTACAATTGAAAAAATGGCAATGAAGCCTTGACGTCTGTCTCTATACAATAAATTATTGCACTACACATCCGATGGTTAGGTTGCCGTTGCAATTAAAAATTAAATATTGTAATAAAAGTGTGCCCCAACTTCACGTGCTGCGCAAATTTGGACGCACCTCATCTGGTAGGACGACCTAAATAGCATTTAGTGGTGAGGTCAAGGCTGGCGCTCCGTATTGTTGAAAACATGGCGTGTTTGTTTTAGTTATCCTCTTGGGTCGTTCATTAATTTGCGTGTTATAAACACGGCACAATTCGTGACACTTAACCGCAACCCTTATTATTAATCCTTGGGGAGTAGTGAGGGTTGCTCGCATCCGTTTGGGCAATTAATTTGGAATTTATTCGATAATGGCGCACTATACCGAGTAGTTTGCCTTGACTGTGTGTTAAAACGGTTGAATGGATCTATGTCGCTATGGCAACCCTGATGTCCAAATTGTAACGACTTTCTGGTCAATAATTTTGCACTGTCTCTTTTTCTTTCTGATCATGTTATCGCCTCACTACCTTTTGGATCCTTTTTGGCGAGATGCTGATGCCCATACTTTTCGGTTGTTTGGGCTGCGTACTGAAACTTCACCTTGGCTTCATTACTCCATTAATTACGCATAACACGTACAGAACGCAGGCCATATCACATACTGATTGCGTGAATAACATGGCGGATGTTGTATCTACTCTTATAGTGTTGTACAGGTTTTTGGAAATATTATTGGATTACATGTTTTCCCTGGATTAATCGAAGTGAGTTTAATTTTTCATTAAAATAATCTAATTGAAGTAATATTAGATAGCATTGTTGAATGTGTAACTCCCCTCACGCAGAAGCGTTTGGAAAAGAGCCATTTGATCAATTATGTCTTAGCACCATGTGGAAAGTGGAAGAGCATGGTAGTGTTCTAAATTTACAAAATTCAAGCAAATGGTTGGTCTTTTGGTTGGTCTTTATTTTTAAGTAGGCGGGGTTTCAGCCAAGGCCGCTCTACCAACCCAACACACATTTACAAATATCCATACCTGAACCCGAATTTGAACCAGGGACCCGGAGTAATTTCTAAGATTTTCTCAACTGTACAGGAGCGCGAGATGCAGGAGGCCGGAGTATACCAACTACAGTACATATATTACGTCAAAGAATGTTTTTATAGGATAAAAAATAAAATATTTTGAAGATCTCAATTTCGTTTAAGTTGTGAAAAAGTGTGACAAACCGTCAAATATTGTCCATGTCCATGAGCTTTGGGCCGTACTTTGTGCTTCCGACTTTTGTTGATTTGCATCTTTTTTAATGCGTGTTTTCCGTCCCTAAACCCTACCAAGATAGGATTACCTGCTTATCTACGACTCTCCGGATCCTTAGACTTCCTAAAGTTATTAAAAAAAGCAAACCTCTATTGAATTGAAGTACGTAAAATAAAGGCTGTAACAGAAGATGGTGCATCCACAAACAATTATTTTATTTATTTTATTGTTGTTTAAACTTTAAATACCTCATAATTGTAAAAATAGGAACTGATTTTCTGTGAATTTTAGAGGTAACACTGTAGTCTTTCCTATAGGTACATTTTGATAGTTTGTCCATTCTGTCCCTTCATACAACCAAAGTAGTGTAATTTTTCTTACACCTGAAATATTCATTTTTTATCGATCTAAGTCGATGATGAGTCTATGAATTTTAGATTAAATTTACAACCCCTAATTCAGAGAGAGGTGTTTCCAGCGATGTATTACTCGCCCTATTATATCATTTAATGTCTGATTTAGTTGATTTCTGTAATTGAAGATCCTAACTGCTTAAGGCAGTTTCCACCGTACGTTTGGAATAGAGAGGTCCGGCTGGGCGAAGAAGTTCTTTATTACAGGCTGTTAATTAATCGTCAAAATAAGATAAAAATTATACAGGGTGGCAAAGCATTCTTTGTTGGAGCGTCATTGATTTTTCACACTTTCCATTTCTTTGTTGAATAACCTTGGCCAAATTCATCGAAATCCCTAATCAATATGTACAAGCAAATACAAGTGATAATACTTTGCAAGTACGTGACAAAACCGCCGTCGGTAAAAAAAGGAAGGGCAGGAAACGCAACTTATGCGAACAATTTATGTGTTGCAATCACGTAGGGTGACGCTTTTCATTTAGGCGTTTATTACAAAGCGACAAAAAATTTATTTACAAATTCCAACAATCAATAAGAATAAGGAGTGACGTCAAACCAGGCAGCGCAAAGCTCTACAAATTCAGTGCGGTCGCAGCAATCACGATGAGCTTTTATTTCTTTAGAGCGTGTAGATATCCCGCGAAAGCCGTTTTGCCCAAAATTGAAAAGGTACCCGAGCTAGTCAAAATGAATTTCTCCCTGAGGAGGTTCTTTAGTCTGGACACGAATGACGGTGAGGTAAATATTTTATTTGTTATTGTCGCGCACTTTGCTCTCTACGCACCAAAATCGTGGAACTTTGCCAAACGGCATTAAAATATTGCGATCGCCATCGGAATGGTTTGGCGCGCTAACTAGTTTTTTTCCAATAACCATGTCGGCTCCATGGCCTGTAAAAAAAGGAGCTTTTCGCAAGTGCGAGAAAATAAAAGCTCCATTAAAACTTGTCATTATTAATGATGGGCCGTCGAGAGCATGTGAAAAAATCCTGGTGCGAGTGGTTAATTACTAATGTGTTTAATGTAATGTAGTGGTTTTACACATCTGCGTCTTATTATAGATAACAGTTTCAGTAGTGATATAGCCTTGTAGCTTCTAAAAATATATCGCCGGCGAGCGGTAATTTTTCTGAAAACGAAATCCACGCGTAATTTTGAAATTTACCATTACAGGAGGCCAGATCGTTGAAGTCGGGCGAACTGAGTCAACAGGAATCGAAAAATATGGCGCACACATCGATGAAAGTGACAACGGACAGCTTCAGCCACGAGAAAACCGCGATGGAAGCGCAACAGCAAAGACAAACGGTAACGAGTAGTGGAATGTACAATCAAGAAAAACACACCTCATCTTCACAATCAAATATCACATACACCACATCTAAAGGAATACATACTTCATCCAGTTCCATGTTGCAGTCTGCTGCATCACAGGTCAGTTGCGTTTTTTTTGCCACACGACACTTCTTCAGTTTCTTCTTTCCACCCATACCTCTCTTCATCATGTAGAAACTAGAATCTTCTTTCTTACACTTTCTCCCACATTTCATTTTATTTGCCCAAATGAGAGATTACACTATTTTATTATAGGGCGAGGGGTGTAGAACAGGGCACAGCTTCCTTTTAAAACTCGTACTATAAGAATGAAGCCCATATATTCTGCAATGATTTAGGTACAGATTTGAGTGTGCGAATTTTTCTCTCTCTGGTCATGACTATGCGAGAGATAGGGACAGACAGACGTCTTTATTTTTGCAAAAAAATTACAAATGCGGTTACGGATGTATTATTTTTTTAATAATTTACGATATTTAACAACGAAAATGGTTCAATAGCGAATAAAATATAAGTATGAAAAAATAATTTCAGGAGGTAGGTACTCTAATATTCCAATGCACAGTCTTCGGATTCCACGTCAAATTTCTTTCACCTATACTCATTGAAATAGTTCTTATTAAAAAAAATTGGTTGATGTCTATTTGAATATTTATGCTTGTTTTTTGGAAAAATGTATTCCTAATGTCACTAGGATTAAATTATTAATTATTTTTACAGAAAATTTTGTACGGAACGGATAAGGAAATTCCTGGGTAATTGTTTATTCTACTTTTTTACGTAATGGATGAATTATAGCATTTTTCCAATCTTTAGGGATATTTTTCGTTTTGCCAATTTCAGAAAATAGATACCTATTTCAATTGGTCAATTAGTTTTGGGGAATTGAGTTTTAGTATTTCTGCAGTTATATTATCATTGGCACTAGCTTTATTGTTTTTTGTAGAGTTTTCTGCACTGTTATCTTAGTATTTGAATCCAAATAAATTTTCAAAATATTTAGGTAACATTATTCAGTTTTCTGTGTATTAAATTGTAATTTTCCTTTTTCGTTTTTCAAACATGCACCCAGCCCTTAATTGTAATTTTGCAAGTTTGTGTTGGAAATTAATTTCTATTTTGTTGTTTTTCAAAGTCTCTTTTTTGTTTTTTAAATACTTTGGCTGTTTGTGTTTGGTATATTTTGAAATTATGAAAGCCTTTTATTCTCTCCAATTATTTCTCCTCCTTTCTATGGCATTCCTCGCATTTCATTCCATTAGGATATCGACTTGAAATTTTGGAAGGGCATCAATGAATCGCATATGAGAAAACCTTCCTCCGGGTCCAAAAAACTGAACCTTCAGACGTAAATATCATGAAGCCTACCAAAAAAACTGCGCTCTTTCAGAATATGTAAAAAAACAGGGTGTCATTTATATTTTTGGATTGGTGGTGGATGAGGGCGTCGAATATCACGTTGGCACGATAGTATATTATACACTATTAATTTTCCCCCTACTAATGAAATTTTAATGATACCAATGACCAAAATTTCAAGTCGAAACCATTTGAAACACCCGATATAATTCGATTTAAAGATTCGCGTTTACCGTATTGTTTATTAATCTGCGCCTAGTCAAGTGGTGTTTTTAGCGTATTTTCCAAAAGGAAAATGAGCGTTATTGTCCGCACTTTGTCCGTCTATCTGTTTGTCCGTCAGTACTACTACTAGTCCGCGCCAGGGTAAGCTTTTTCGTTGTGATTGCTTTCTTATGCGTTGTAGTACAGCCCAGAGACCAGAACGACAAAAGTTTATTTGGATTGGTAATTTCCTTCCTCGCTTCCTTCCCGAGTTATTATTGATTGTGTGCCGGGAAAATGCGCCTTCGTCGGTCGCAAGCATGGTGTACCTATAAGTCGCGAGTTGTTCATTATAGTTGTCGCTGGTTTTCATTTCGGAATCATAAACTGTTAATAATGTAACAGGTTTTCATCGAGAGAGGGTTTCTTTTAAAGCCCAAATCTCTCTACGTTAAATTTAGTTAAGCGTATATGAAGATTCGGCAGGGTTCCCACAAAATATTTTGTTTTGAGTTTTAATTTGGGTTTGAAACTGCTACGATTCTGTGTGTATTCGATGTATTCAGTCCCTCAAAATCCGCGTGGCAGAGATTTAGGTTTGCCTGGACGATTTTCCGTATTGTTTTTGCATCTGTTTTGGGAAATGGTGAGCATGGAACAAATCCCATTACAAGTTACAACCAAAGATTTTCAGAAGCATTGGTGTTGGCCCCTTTGCCCCTCTGACACCGACTACCACAAATGATTTTTTTAAATTTTTTATTGTTTTTCCATTCCCTTAGATAAAGCCAACTTTTACGTAATAATCCGTCTATTTTTGTGGTATTTTCGTTTCCTTGTTTGATATTCTTTACAGGTCCAATTGTATTGTATAATATTGACTTGGGTAAATTTATGTTTCCTATTTTGTAAAGAAGCAATTAAAGAAACCATTAACCATACTTCCTAGACGGGGCAAGACCACGTTCTAGGTGGAACTGAACCCCGCCTGTCCACCCCATGACTGTAGGCGTGCTTCAGAGCAATTTTTCTCTCTTGATTCCTATCGTTTCAATGTGTCACACTTCATACCACTGTGTCCAAATAATTTGTTGACTTCTTCTTTCATACATTCTTTTACAATATAATACAGGGTGTCTCTTTAAAAATTTTTCTATTTTTTCGGATAGATCCTAATTCAAAATTTACAACGGTTTTGTTAGTATACGACCACCTCTCCTACCCCATTTGACATTACCTTCTACCATTTCCAACACGTAATTGGAGAGATCCTAAAAACACTTTCCCTTATCATAAAGGAGATATTTGGATAACAAGTTAATAATTTATTTTATCAAAATATTTATTTACTACATAGTTGGGTTGGTATATAGTGCACTATGAAAGTAATGCGTATTTTCTGGAAAAATAGGTTTATTAACCCGATTAGTAGAAGTGGTTAAAATTCTCTAAAATTCCTTCTGCATCAATACACTTGCGGGGACGATTCTGCCACTCTCAGAAACCTTGTAAGGTGAGCTTGGATTGTGTGTGCCACTCGGAGCTCTGGCTTTTGGATCGTACTGGGAACATTCAGGGTTGAGTTTCTGTTGCATTCTTCTCAAGCCACACACAAAACTTGATCGCGTACTGTTCTATTGCGCAGTGAAAATCGAAAAACAGACTTCGTGCAAAGACGCGTCCTACCGCTTGGAGCGGACTGAGACCGGACTAGAGGTGCGTTGTTTACGAACGACCCGTTCAAAAGATCCGGATTCTTTATGATACCCAAACCAATCGGATACCGAAGACTGCACGACCCTTTGAATCAGTTACTTATGACACAGCTACCACTTTCCCAAGCCCAGCCACACTGTTACTAATTTTCATAATTCATATTGTCAAACTGGTTTCGGTTAACACAAACTAATAATTCATTTCTTCAGTTTCAGCTGATGAACGGTACCAGCATCAAGCCAGACGAAGACCTAATGAACATGTCCTTTGAAGATCTAGACCAGTTGTCGTCCACCACAAATCAGCAAGACGTCGAAAGGGCCATTTACAAATATTCCACATACCTGGATCTGTCGATAAAAAATTTGCAAAAAAATAGTCTGGGCAAAAAGTCACCCGCAATACTAAACAGAATAAACGACGTAATCCACAAGGCATGGGCGGTACCAACGTACGGCCACGAGCTCGGATACTCCCTCTGTAACACCTTGCGGAATTGCGGGGGCTTAGACTTAATTATGACCAACTGTATTACTTCGGACGAAGATTTGCAATTTTCTAGCGCTCGATTGTTGGAGCAATGTTTGACTACTGAAAATAGGGCTCATGTTGTTTCGCATGGACTGGATAAGGTGGTCAACGTGGCTTGCATGTGTACGCGGCACTCGAACTCAGTTGCGCATGCGCGTGTGGGGACCGGAATATTAGAACATTTATTTAAACACAGTGAGGAAACGTGTAGTGATGTGATTAGACTCGGTGGTTTAGATGCGTTGCTGTTCGAATGTCGAAAAAGTGATGTGGAAACCTTAAGGCACTGTGCCGGAGCTCTTGCCAACTTGAGTTTGTACGGTGGCGCTGAGAACCAGGAAGCTATGATCAAACGAAAAGTACCTATGTGGTTATTCCCTCTTGCCTTTCACACCGACGATAACATAAAATATTACGCTTGCCTAGCAATAACCGTTTTAGTTGCGAATGCCGAAATCGAATCCGAAGTATTACAGTCGGGCACCTTGGGCCTGGTCGAACCGTTCGTCACCACCCACAACCCCTCGGAATTTGCACGATCGAATCTGGCGCACGCCCACGGCCAGAGCAAAACGTGGCTCAAACATTTGGTGCCAGTTTTGAGTTCCAAGCGTGAGGAGGCGAGGAATCTGGCCGCTTTCCACTTCTGCATGGAGGCGGGAATCAAAAAACAGCAGGGCAACACAAATATCTTCGCCGAAATTGGCGCGATCGAATCGTTGAAGAGGGTGGCCAGTTGTCCTAACGCGGTTGCGTCCAAGTACGCCGCCCAAGCGCTTCGACTGATAGGCGAAGAAGTGCCGCACAAACTAAGCCAACAAGTTCCTTTATGGTCCACTGAAGACGTCGAGGAGTGGGTCAAACAGATCGGTTTTAACGAATACACCAATAGCTTCGTGGAGAGTCGAGTTGACGGTGATCTTCTACTGCAAATAACCGAAGAGAATCTTCGGGATGATATAGGATTAACGAACGGAATTAAACGAAAGCGATTTACGCGCGAGTTAGAAAACTTGAAGAAAATGGCGGACTACAGTTCGCGAGATGCGGCAAACATTAATAGCTTTATGCAGTCGTTAGGACAAGAGTTTAGTATATACACGTACGGCATGTTAAATGCGGGTATCGAAACGAAAGAATCTCTAAGGAATTTATCCGAGGATCAATTGCTTAGGGAGTGTAGCATAGTAAATTCCATACATAGGCTAAGGATAATGGAGGCGATTCGTGCGTTAGAGAACGGTTTATCGTATTTGAACGACGATAGTATGGATAAATCGTTGGACGTTTTCGTTAGCTATAGGCGATCGAACGGTTCTCAGTTAGCGAGTTTACTAAAAGTTCACTTGCAATTAAGAGGATTTAGTGTATTCATCGACGTCGAGAGGTTGGAGGCGGGAAAGTTCGACAACAATTTGTTGCAAAGTATACAAAAGGCCAAGCACTTCCTTCTAGTTTTAACTCCAAATGCCTTGGAAAGGTGTATCGGTGATGGCGACAGAAAAGATTGGGTACATCGAGTAAGTTCGCTATTATTTGTTTGAGTATAAAGTTTAATGAGCGCTTTTAGGAAATCGTTGCGGCCTTACAGTCCCAGTGTAACATTATTCCTATTATCGACAATTTCCAATGGCCCGAGGCCGAAGAATTACCCGAGGATATGCGACAAGTGTGCCATTTCAATGGTGTTCGGTGGATACACGATTATCAAGACGCCTGTGTGGACAAACTTGAAAGGTATGTTGTTGTTCTACCATTTAATCTTAATTTTTTTTGAGATTGTCAAATGTTAATTGAATTTGTATACTTAGGTTCATGCGAGGCGAGATCAATACCAGAACTGATCTGCACTGTGGGCGTGTCGCTATGAATAAGGGCGACATAACACCTGGCACTCCTTCGAATCCATCGTTAGTTCGTCAACCTCCCAACTATCAACGAATGCACAGCAACGACTCGGGTAGCGGAAAAGGATCTGATAAAGATGTCAACGGGAATTCGGGATTGTCTAGGGATTGACTAGATGGTCCCCCAGCCTCGGTTACAACCTCCCCATTGCCTAGGTAGGTACGTGTGTCATCAATAATTTATTAAATTGATTAATACCGCATGCTGTTGCATTAGTAAATTCAGTGGTGAATGATGATTTTCTGCTATGGAATAATTGTGACTAAAACATGTTAATTAACAAAGCAGCTGAGCGGTGACAAAAGGGAAAATTCTAGTTTTTGGGGTAAAACAAAACGACCTGCCGGCTGTGATTTGGGGTGGATAAATTCAGAAGCAAAATTCAGTTCACATTACAAAAGCATAATCGGTGATAACTGAATAACTTGAGTAAAAATTAGTGCTTTTTGAATTCTGATTTGATTTGTGAGATCTATTCCAGGTCATTGAATATTTATTGTGATAAGTTTGCGACATATTGTATTCTGTATTCGTTGATTGAGTCCATTGTCCTTTGCCACTGAATAAAGTGCATGTTAACATGTATTAACTAATTAATAAAAGATCTGTACTTCTGTTCTATGCAAAGTTTCTGGAATCAGGTAATTATCGCTCTGTTTAATTTGGATCAGTCTGTTTCATGCATTTTCCCATTGAAACTGTTCATATAATCTTTACTTGTAACACATTTTCAGGCATCTAGATTCTAGAATAATGTATCTTGTAATTTTTCGTGAAGAACTTTTATTCCCCTAGAAAGTTACATAGTTTAAAATGGAGGTGACGCAGACACTCATTATTAATTAACATCGACAGATCAAAATGTCCTTACATTTTAATCTGTAGATATTAAAAAATGATGAATATTTCTGCAGTGCCACGTCAATTTTGAAATTAGGCGATCTCCTCGTCTAAATGCCTGAGAATGGAGAAGCTTTTTGTTGACTCCTTGAACCAAACCTTCTTAATACATTTTTCAGTGAACGCCATTTGATTATACAGTTGTGGTGGTACATATGGTAGCTGATACGCATCACACCACAATTTGCAATAGAATCAAACCGGCGTTTTCCACCACGCTGTGCGAAAAATCATCCCCCACAGTCTAATAGGGCTTTATAAGACAGCTCGGGTTGATCCTACTGCTTACTATAGGACAGGTCGCGGTAGAATGAATTCTAGCGCAAGCGCGTTGCCTTAGGGGGCCCATACATTGCACAGCACTTATTTGAGTTACGAGAATAACTCATGCGACTACACGTCTGAACACCATTTCTAATGGAAACGGAAGCGGTAGGAGAAGTGCGTGCGTCACCAAGGAGACTACTTTGAAGGGGATTAAAGTTTCGAACTTCCAAATCAATAAATCTATAACTCTCGCCAGGAAAGATTGCAGGTCACAGCACACTTTGTGTCAAATTACAATCTATGTTTTTTTTAAGATGCGAGCGATTTCCATCGTGCCAATGATGAACGAAAAAGGGTTTATTGAATCATTATCCCCCTTTAAAATTTCGTGTAAAGGTTCGCTGCTCCTTTGATAATCATGTGTAGTAATTTATTATTCCCAATCAGAGCTGGGCAGAATACTTTCAAAAAGTATTTGAATACTAAATAGTAAATACTTTACACAACTCAAAGATATTTGAATACTAAATACTTTTACGTCCCGCACAAGCGAATACTAGATACAGATACATTGAAAAGTATTCAAATACTTTAAAAAATAAGTATTCAAATACCTTAGAATGTATTCGAATACTATCATAAGTATTCGGATACTTTCAAAAGTATTCTAATACTATCAAAGGTATTCGAATACTATAAAAAGTATTCGAATACTTTGAAAAGTATTCGAATACAGTAAAAAGTATTCAAATACTTGTCACTCAAATACATTAAAAATTTAAAATAGTATACTAGATAAAAGTCTTAATACTACTTAAAAATCAAGTTATACTTTGTATGGGGTTAGCTTTTTTTATATTTCTATTGTTATATACAAATTTAAGGGGAGTAAAAGCGTATTATTGTTATTATATTATTATATAGGAGGTACCTACCAGGACCTTTCTTATACCAGTTATATCCTTAAGAATACGTGTACCAGTTTTCAAAGCGATCATACGTCGTGCACATGATACATACGCCTTTCTGAAATTAATCCTAGCGATTTTGGAACAGATCCATTTTTGACCATCCGTTTGTCCGTGTGCATGATAACTTGTTTAGAAACGTGTCATCGCTTTGAAAATTGGTACACATGGTCTTAAGGATATACATATGAAAGGTCCCTATTGTTTTTAAGCTACGTAGATTATCGTATCAAAAAGTTTCACTCCAGGATCGTTCGGTATTCAGTTGTATCGGATTTTTATATTTGATTAACTTAAAAGTACTGCCTTTTTTTGAGGCCGGGAAAAAAAATGTCTGGGATCGACCGGGAAAAAACATTTTCTTATAGAATTTGGCACGTAGAATCCATAATTTCAAACAATTTGAAGATTGGGCTACTAGAAGTTACTGCCCTTTGAATTTTTTTTCGAAATTTGTTTTTTGTACATAACTTTATATTGAGAGGTCTAATCGAAAAAGCACGAATTGTTTTGGATTCTACGCACCAAAATTAATAAGAAAAAGTGTTTTCCCGAGAAATTTTGGTGCAGTCGATTTTTGGTAAAAAGGGAAGGTTATACACTGCCTTTTTTTGAGCCCCGAAAAAAAAAATTGTCTTAGAACGACCCGGAAAAAAAATTTTCTTATAGAATGTGGCCTGTAGAATCCATAATTTCAAACAGTTCCAAGATTGGGCTACTAGTTCAAAAGTTACAGCCCTTTAAATTTTTTTTCGAAATTGGTTTCTAGTCTATAACTTTTGATTGAGAAGTCTGATCGAAAAAGTACGAATTGATTTGGATTCTACGCACACAAATTAATAAGAAAAAGTGTTTTCCCGAGAAATTTTGGTGTAGTCGATTTTTGGTAAAAAAGGAAGGTTATACACTGCCTTTTTTTGAGCACCGAAAAAAAAATTGCCTCAGATCGACCCGGAAAAAAATTTTCTTATAGAATGTGGCCTGTAGAATCCATAATTTCAAAGAGTTCCAAGATTGGGCTACTAGTTCAAAAGTTACAGCCCTTTGAATTTTCTTTCGAAATTGGTTTCTAGTCTATAACTTTTGATTGAGAAGTCTGATCGAAAAAGTACGAATTGTTTGGATTCTACGCACCAAAATTAATAAGAAAAAGTGTTTTCCCGAGAAATTTTGGTGTAGTCGATTTTTGGTAAAAAAGAAAGGTTATACACTGCCTTTTTTTGAGCCCCGAAAAAAAAATTGTCTCAGATCGACCCGGAAAAAAAATTTTCTTATAGAATGTGGCCTGTAGAATCAATAATTTCAAACAGTTCCAAGATTGGGCTACTAGTTCAAAAGTTACAGCCCTTTGAATTTTCTTTCGAAATTGGTTTCTAGTCTATAACTTTTGATTGGGAAGTTAAGTATTCAAATACTATGCGAAGTATTCGAATACTTCTCAAAGTATTCAAATACCTTGTGAAGTATTCGAATACTTTACGAAGTATCCAAATACTGCTTCCATAAAAGTATTTAATTACAAAGTATTTGAATACTTTAAAGGATTTGAATACTAAAAAGTATTTACAAAATCGAATACTGCCCAGCTCTGTTCCCAATACTGTTTCCGGTCGTGGGTAGTCTTCCATGGCTTATAATTTTTCTTTCATGGGTCGTGTGCGATCGCGTGTGACTTGATATCCCAAGAAACGGATTTGCTTTCCGAAACAACATTTGCTAGTGTTGACCATGATTCAACGTGAGAAAACGCCGTGTTGATTCTACTGCTAGTTGTGGTGTGATGCCTATCAGCTACCATATGTACCGCCACAAGTTGATATTTACAATCCAATACAAAATTGTTGCTATTTTGGCAACCAATTGAAGCATTTTTGTTTTATTCAAAGTAAAAATCATCGTTTTTTGACCGATTTATTTTTTGTTACAGATTTTATAAATCTTCAAGTCCATCTCGGAATTGGATGATGGGTTCTGGTAAATACCCCCGCGGTCTGCCGCCCCAATATCCGATCTCGCTTCGTCGAGGTTCGAATTCGCCGGTGTCGCCGGCGTCCATGGACAGTCCTTCGCCGGTTCCGAACAGATCTCGAAGTTTGGATGGACTACTCGATAACGAGCCTTTGGAAATTGTGTCGTCGACAGCTTCAGAAGCGACTCCGTCCGAAATATCGCAAAAATCGCAAAGTTGTGATAGTAACTTAGACATGAAAATCTCAGATGAAACTATTCATGTAGATAAAGAGACTGAAAAATTAAATAATAGAAATAGTAGCATAAGTAATACGAGTAGTAGAACGCAAAATTTCGAGAGCAGCCTGGAAGGGTCACTGGATTCGAACGAAATTAGTAAATCGTCCAACCTAAGTTTACATAGTAACTCGAGTGATAATTCGAAACAGAAACGGAAATTTGTAAATCGGTGCGTTAATAAAGTGCGATCTCTTATTAAGAAATAGTTTAATAGTCGCTTATAAATGTGAGCACTCAAAATAGTATTTGGTCCTAATTCGGAGCAGCTAAATTATTGTGAGAGTACAAAGCACAGCTTTTACAACTCTACTTTTTATAAGTGTAACTTTATAAAGAAGCAGCTAAAAGCAGCCTTTCAAAATCGTGATCGTGGCACATTTTTTTTATGTGTACACTATATAGTTTGTAAGATATTTTATAAGTTAAATTGCCTTCAATGCGAATGTTGACTATTTTAATATGTTTTTAAGTTGTATGTACGAAACTTGCTAAAATTTCGCAAGTTGTGTAGGTATTTTAACATACTATTAGCTTAATTAGCTGGACGCTCAATATTTAAATTATTTTTTAAACAACATCTTGAGCTGGTAAGCTAAACACTGTTTTAACAACATAGTCTCTAGTATTATATTTTATAAAATAAATAGTTTATTGTTTTTTTTATTCAAAATGTTATATTTAAAAATATATTTTATTAAAATCCGCTGGTTGATGTATTTTATTGTAGCGATCCAATCCTGATGATTTTGATTTTGCATTCATTTTCTATTGGTGTAGGTGTCAAATCATCATTAGTTCACTTATCATTAAACATTATGAAAGAGCCAATAGAAACAAAAGTTTATTTGTGCGCCACTAACCAATGAAACCATACCTTTGTTTCTATTGGCTGGTTCTTAAAGATCTAATAATGAACAGATCACTACATTTCAATTTTTTCCAAAGCTTAATAATAATAATGTCTTATTAATTACACATTTTGCAACAAAATTTATAACAGATTTATCGTGTAACTATTTGGGCGAAGTTCAGATGACAGTAGTGTCACCCACTGCCTCTGAGGGCAGTTTGTAACTACAAAACGAAAATGTATGCAGTCATTTAACTTTTTCAATTTTCATTCGGCTCTGATTTAAGAGAATCAAATTGAAAAATGGATAATAGAAAACAATAAACACCAATTACTCCCATCTTTAAGAATGCTTCCTCACGAGATATGTACGTGTTTAAATTTGCTTGTACACCTTGAACAGTTAAGGCTCTGCCAGACAGAGCGCAGTCGGAGATATTTGTATTAGAGAAATATCGGAGACCGCAGTCTGTCTGGTAGATGTATGTTTTGAACTTGGCAAACAGAGCGGTTCTGACTGTTTAATCCGATTAAACCGCGCGACCTATCAGAGTGGTTGTAATATTTTACAGCGATCGCGCGTTCCGACACGTAGGTATTTCGAGTTGTGTTTCCTAATCCAGAAAAGTACATTCTGAAGTTCTCTAGCGGAATAATAAGAAACTATGAAATAACGATAAAATTGAATTGTTATACTGGTCCACGATTTCGACTTTTTGGATCCTACATGTGCTAGTCTTTTAGTAGCGGTATGAAGTGAAGTAAACAAGGCTAAGACTAACAGGTTGTATTAATGAAAAATTTATTATACATAACATTTAAACAATATAACTTCGCGAGACTAAAAAATTATTGGACTTCGATAGCTTTCTCAGTCAAAACCGGAACTTTCTTGCCTTGTGGCTGCAGAAATAAAATTATTAATAATCAAAAAACCTTTCTCGGTGTGGGACCTCACCATTATAAAGACATGCGTAGGCAAAGACCTGTCTATTAAATTATCCAACTGCTCTTGTGTTAAAGTCAGACCTTCCATTCCTTCACCACTAACAGTCAGCGACAGTTTTGGTAACATAACATTACCGGCGACCAACGGATACAAATTATATTGTAACGTTTTCGTACTCGACGGTAAAATCGATAGCTGCAACTACAAAACGAATTAGCGACTGATCATCTTCAGCGGGGACTTACCTGTTTATAACCGGCGTACATGAAAGCCTCACTCGCTTCCATGTTCATGTCAAGCTGTAACAGATGCCGTGATCTATTGTAAAACTTGTAATTGACAAGGAGAGGGGTGCGCACTAATCCGTATGCGGGTAGTGGTAGTTCCAGGTTTAAAGGAATCCACTCGATACTTAGTCCCTTTATTTTGATTTGTGTGACGGCCGTCTCGCCATTTTCTCTGTGACAAAATGGTAATATTAACATAGGGTTTAGCCAGTCCAGAAATTAATGATGGCGACTGATCAAGGCGTTTTGATTCTCGCGTGACGCCAACCTTAATTAAACAATTGCTTTTCACGCTCAAATGATTTAATTAATAAATAAAGGGCGAACAAAAATGAGTTGCTGTCAAGCCGCCTTTGGAAGTTTAAGTTAAGTACACGAAGTGACTCGAGTGCAACTTATTTTGATCGCATAGTACAAAAGGTGTTTTTGGCGCGCTTAAATCCTACTGTCACCTCCACGTGGTAAGAGCCGGGCAACGTCCGTTTTCTAAGGGCGGCTAACGACAGAGGTAATCCCTAAACTAAAATAGTGTACTGAAAATAAATACATTTTGTTAATTGCTTCATTACTAATGAGTTATTAAATAAATAAACTTTTGTAACTAATTGGTCTCAGGTGTGGGGTTAAATAAATTAAGTGATTTAGTGGACGTAAATAGTTACTTCCTAAAAAAGGATATTGGAGATCCTTCGCCACTTGCATGATGGCTCATCTGAAGTACACTTGACCTTACCAAAATGGCTCAACTACCACTTTAAAGAAAGCAAAATAAGGAGTGCTTTATAAGATACTCTGTGCTCAAGCTCTAATTGATTTACGAGGTGATTGACAAAAAACATCTACCTTTTCCATTTAACACTGTAATGGCCGACTTCAATAGGAGTTTCGGTCGGTTTCAATACGTTGGCATAATATATATCAGTTCCATTATCACCGTTGCGCAAAGTTACACCTTCCACTTGGCTCTTTGTAGTTTTGTCGACCAAACTTATTGATGTCGACTGTAAGAGAAACCTATCAATCTACCACTTTGACTTTGTACCACTTACGCATTCCAAAGTTGCACTTTTTATTTCTATTGGCCATGGGGAAAGGCAATTAATGACTGGCATTATAATAAACGGTTCGTCCACATAAAATTTGCTTATATCACCAAATTTTGAAGAGGAAAACTTTGTCGTTAATTCGAACGGCTTAACGACCGGAATGTCAATTAATTCTTCCTTAACGCTTGGTATTGGTCTTTTGCTTTTTAACAAATACGATATTTTTGCGCATACATTTCTAGGGCCGACACTGTAACAGCGCAGGTAAATTTTCTTTTGAACACTTTCAGAAGGACCCAAGTTCTTCAACTTTACTAATAAAGGTAACTGTTGCGCCTTCTCCTTAATACTTGTGTAGAGCTCGGCTAAAAGTTCGGAAATTATCAAGATTTACATTTTCAACAATTTACTTTGATCGGTGAACTCGCTCGTTAAATTAATGTCGAGCTGCAGGTTGTCGATGGCACAAACTTCTTTGTTTGTAATCGACAGCCGGATTTGGTACCACTCCCCTAGGAGAGCGGGTTGATGGTGGTCGATTTTGAGGCCCAGCTTCGAATCGCGCGGTACTATCAGCGCTTTCGACAGTAGCTTGAGATTATCAAATTCGTAGATGGGGCGAGAAGTTCTGCGAAAATGCAGAAAGTCCGCGCATACTTTGTTCGCTTCGTTACCGAGGCCTGTGAATTTCAAATCGATGTGGTTCACACTGCCGTTACATAACCATAAATTTACGGCACCAATCTGCAAGAGAGAGAAAGAGAGACTGTGTTTACCACCAAGTAACCAATTTATACCTGTAACTCTTTCTCGATATCATTTGGATCGGGCATAAATTCAATAACAAACTTTTTCACATCGTTACCATTAAACGTAAGGTCTTTCGTTTCAGCCTTGTCCATTGTATGAACTGTTTGCGACACTCCACTGCTGATAGTGCACGAAATGTTCGCCAACTGCAGCGGAAAAATGCAGGAACTCCTGGAAAAAATAATATCTATACACTTATTCCAAAGATGAAAAGTGGATGTCATGGCAAATTAATATCACTCACCGAACAAGAATTTCAACAGTCACCGGCTGATCTCCCTGATACTGACTTTGGGTAAACCTGGCCTTTGTGTCGATACAGCATAAAATATTACTCATATCTAACGACACGCCGCTCGACTGAGATGCGAACAGCTGCGTCCAAAGTGCGTGTGCAGCCCCGATCGCATTCGACGGTGTATTTACGTCCGGCTCAGGAATTTGTTTCTAAACAATGCAACTCAGTGCATACAAAACCCAAGGCTGGAGACTCACGTTAATTATTCGATGTACATTCTCGTATATGTCCTTTCGCTTGTTCGTACTTATTTTGGTAGAGGGCCCTATTAGCTCCAACGATAAACTTACGTAATCCTGAATACTGGCGGTTAAGTAGGCGCACTGCAGCGCCTTATGCAAAATATCGGTCAATAAATTCCACCAGTTTTCCGTTCGATAATCCCAAAGCATGTGAGTGAATAAACTGCAAGAGATCGGTTAGAATTTTTCTAGTCTCATTTGGTCGGGACTTACGTTAGCGACTTGCCGTAATCACCAGAGTTATAGTACTCCTCCGCCATTTGTACAACTAAATATCTTCTCATCCTCAGACATCTATATGTTTTGTACTGTGATATTGCAAAACCGAAGAGCGATATTATGTTATTCTACAAAGTAAGCATGTTTAGCAAAAATTCTGAGGGCCCAGAGCTGGGCAGAATACTTTCAAAAAGTATTTGAATACTAAAAAGTAAATACATTACACAAATCAAAGGTATTTGAATACTAAATACTTTTACGTCCAGCACAAGCGAATACTAGATACAGATACATTGAAAAGTATTCAAATACTTTAAAAAATAAGTCTTATTCAAATACTTTAGAATGTATTCGAATACTTGTCACTCAATTACGCACCAAAATTAATAAGAAAAAGTGTTTTCCTGAGAAATTTTGGTGTAGTCGATTTTTGGTAAAAAAGGAAGGTTGTACACTGCCTTTTTTTGAGCTCCGAAAAAAAAATTGTCTCAGATCGACCCGGAAAAAATGTTCTTATACAATGTGGCCTGTAGAATCCATAATTTCAAACAGTTCCAGGATTGGGCTACTAGTTCAAAAGTTACAGCCCTTTGAATTTTCTTTCGAAATTGGTTTCTAGTCTATAACTTTTGATTGAGAAGCCTGATCGAAAAAGTAGGAATTGTTTTGGATTCTACGCACCAAAATGAATAAGAAAAAGTGTTTTACCGAGAAATTTTGGTGCAGTCGATTTTTTGTAAAAAAGGAAGGTTGTACACTGCCTTTTTTTGAGCTCCGAAAAAAAAATTGTCTCAGATCGACCCGGAAAAAAATTTTCTTATACAATGTGGCCTGTAGAATTCATAATTTCAAACAGTAACAAAGGTTAAGTATTCAAATACTATACGAAGTATCCAAATACTTTGCGAAGTATTCGAATACTAAATATTTGTGAAAGTATTTGTGTTACAGATACAAATACTGCTTCCATAAAAGTATTTAATTACAAAGTATTTGAATACTAAAAAGTATTTACAAAATCGAATACTGCCCAGCTCTGTGAGGACCAAATGCGTAACTAACCGAATGATTTATTTGTGTCTCTAAAAATTGCAATGCCTGTATTCCTCTTGATTCCAAATGGGGATCTGGTGGTTCGGCTGTAAGTTTGCCAGGCCTCCATGATCTCTGACCGTAAAATTCTATGTTTTTTAGGTTTTCTAAAGGATCTGGAGTGGGATAGCTGGTTATATTCTGAAAAGTAAACCGTTTGTTTCAGTTAGATCAGTAGTCACATAGAGGTCAGGATGACTACGGTTAATGTCAAGTCTCTTTAATTGTACGAAATTGATATATCAATTGAATATAAATTTTGTTTCGAATTCATAGTTTGTGTCTTGTGAAAGAGATTAATTAATTCTAACTTATAAAACTTCAGCAATCTTGTTTGAAGTACATAACTTTGCAAACTAACATCATCCAAAAAGTTCTTTAAAACATCTTATTAGATTGGGGTATCTTTCCCCAATAACTGTCATCAAAAACAGGTCCAGTAATTTTTCTGCCCACACCTCACCGTTGATATTACATTTTTTGGGTGCGTAAGAAGTGGATTTTCTCAAGGCACACATTTTTGGTAATATCTGAAAAATGCCATGTGGCGGCTTAATTTTAATAAAATTGATATACATGAATTAAACCGAACGGTTTTTGGATTATTTGATTTTTTGAAATTACGCACCTTTTGTGTCATATTACGTAGTTTGGACTATGGATAATTTATGTTTATATTCGCATTCGTAATTTGTTTATTTTGTTTATTTAATTGTATAGAAATTATGTATAAATAAAATGGAAATCGCAGTGTAAGATTGAATATTTTGATTATTGACATTACAAGTCTAAGAAAATTAGCCTAAAAATTGTCGATCAGAACGAATAATTCGTGTAGTTTTGAAATTTGGTACAGTTATTCTCTTCCCAAAGGGCGAGGGACGAACTGGCGTCGGAAAATAGGGGAGAAAAGTCCCTTTTTTCAGTTTTCTGCTTGTAACTCAAAAACTATTAATAATCAACCCCTTCAACCCTGTGATGTATCCGAAATGTCAAACATAACGTGCAGGTTATCTGTCAAAAAACGTTATTTTGCATTTAGTCGCCCCTGCGATTCCAAAGGCACCTCTAAAAAGCATTATGCGGGTCACTCTGTAATTGGGAAGAGAAAAGCATCATTTTAGTGTCTTATAAACCAAAATCAGCACCAGCCGCCATTACATAAGCAGGAGAAAAGATATTTTTTGCAGTATATCGTGCGCCCTCTACTTTAGTCTAGTTTTGATTTTTTTGCGATCTTGTACCAATCCCAAACTTTTCTTCCCTCCCTCTTTCCAAAGGGTCATCGAAATATCACACCTGTTCACCAAGTTCAGGAGGCTTGGGAAATGGGAACCAACTACCAGTGAAATGTGGGGTTGGAAGAGAGAAGTCAACGGAAACTTAGAGCCGATCAAGACCTTGGATCCTCCTGCTCGCCTCCTTACACGCTACAAAATTCTATTTTCTGGTTGTTCTGGCAAGTGCATTTGCCAAACAGCGAACATTAACCGGAAACCCAACGCCATGCATAAGGTTAGCAATCTGTTGAATGTGTATATCTGTGGTATCGCCCTTGGGAAAATTTATTTTTTCCCGTACTCCGTTCCCGTTTTCTCTCTCGGAGCACACCTTAACGCCTTCAAAGAAACCTACGTTCTAAATGTGAAGTTTCTTTTTGAGTGTAAAACATAAAATCCTGCTTTTTACCGTTCCCGTGGGAATTTCGGAAAGTGTTTTACATCAGAAACCTTCGCGTCATACGTAATTGACACGTTTGACCGTCTATTTTTTCGCATATCGCTTGAAGTGGACGGCATGAATTCTATATAGAGAGTTTTATTACGATTTAAAATGACGGAAAAGAGAAAAATTGTTTTTTACGTCTCCGTATAAGCCACCTTTCATTGATTAGAAGGAAGGGGCACTTACTACAACTCCTTAATATAATCGTTGCAAACAATTCTTAACAAACATCGAACCGTATTCCACTGATCATTTTTTTTTACTAGTGTAGGTGCACTGGCATAATACATTAGGACGTATTTCTTCTTATGCAATGAAATACTTTCATTTGTATATACGAGGCGCATCCAGAAAAAAGTTGACCCATTTAAAAAAACCTACATAAAAAACTATTGGCCGAAGGTATTTTCCGGGTTAAATACTTTTAGTGTAGAAAAAAAAATAAGACAACTTAGTTTCTGGATGCGCTATGTATATGGTAAATTTTTGTCAATATTTCTCAAAAGTCAAGTAAAGGCCGTCGCACACTTACGCGCGGCGCGGCGAAGCGTCTTTTTCGCTCACATTGATTTATGTAAGCAAACACTCACTTAAGCGATGCGCGGTATGGCTTATTGAAATCAATGTGAGCGCATAAGGCGCTTCGCGGCGCCGCGCGTAAGTTTGCAACGGCCTTAATCTGTTCTCCCATAAGACATGTGTATACTTTTACACTTACATACATACTACTGTGAGTAGATACATTGCAAAAGTATCTTTCCGATCACTGCTTGGAGTGTCATTACTCATCAGCATAAAACCGGGCATGAAACAGTACAAACAAAATATGGATCTTTTTACCTGGCACAATTCGTGACAGGATTTCTTCCTAGCAATCGCATACTGCGCCGCTTGCTGATAATACAAACCGGGATGCTGAGTTTGAACTGCCGGCAACCCTAACTTCACAGCTTCATCGAAAATATCACCAAACACACTAAATCTAAGAAAAAACAGTGCAACCTTACAAAAATCATCGAACTGTATATTCTCACTGTTTTGAAAGCCAAGCGTGATGCTCAAACGCCAACTCTTGAAATCCAATCCTCATCTTAAATCGGTCGGTATGCGAACGGAACTGCGATATCGCATCCCTGGGCAGACTGAGACCAAACATTAGCCGGCACAATTTATAATTGATAAAGCCGGCCACTGTTCTTATCTCCATAGCGTTTGTGTCCACCACTCGTATCTCTAATAAATTATTGTAAGCGTGCGTGTAATGCCTGTAAATTTCGATTAACAAAACAGTGACGTTAACAGCACCTACTTGTGAGCAGTATGATTGTCTTGCTGGAGTTCGTTTAAGAAACCCATCTTAAACTGATGCCGCACAAATAAATACTGATGGGTCGTTTTACTTAAGTGCTCTCGATGGGATTTGACATTCTTAGCTTCTAAATGATAAAAATTCTTAGCTAGATCGTAAAATGCATTTTCTAAACGTATAACGTATCCTTGCAAGTGGTCACCGTGTGGAAGAACGAATAACGACTTGGCATTTAATTCGCAACTGGCACAAAGTGCAACCGCTCTCTCGGTCGCCAGGATATCCTCCCCAGTGGGTAGTGGCAATGTATCCTGAATTAAAACCACCACTATTCTGGTGTTGCGACCGTCCAGTGCGGCTCGAATCGACTGCACACGTGACGCGCACTCGATCATCTTCTCATTCCACTGCGAATCATTCCAATCCAAATCGTAAAACACAGAGATCACCGCGGGAATCTCGTTCAGGTACTTATTCATCCAATTCTTCTTCAAGATTCCCTTCGGTATGTACCATTCGTACGAGTTCCTTTTTGGTTTAACAATGGGAAATTCGTGAGAATTACTTATGAGTCGGAAGAGCACGGGCGACCTTTCTATTCTGCGGTTACTGTTAAACGTTTCCCAAACCGCCTTGTGAATGGCATTGTTTGTAGTGTCGAGGCCCGATATGCCTACTAACGAAAGGGGTTTTGCACATAGTTCGGGTGGTAAGTCACTTTGATCGGTGTAGGTGGCTAAAACAGACTGCATCGTTTTAGTTTGTGGTTGTAAGGAAGCACATTAAAGCTTTATTTTCGGAAATTTATTTGAGAAATGGGGTTGGTAATTTTGGGGTTATGATTGAATCGGCTCAACAAATGTCATAACAATACATTTGAACTAAAAGCAGTGGCGACGCTGGTAAGGGGACAAGGGTGACCTACCCCATAATGGCCATTCAGGCATACAAGAGAGTACTTTATTCATCGCCTTAGAGATGCTATTAAAGTTAAGAGACGTAGAAAACTGATGCACGGTACTTCCTTTGCGGTAGTCGAATCGTACAGGCGATACATTGATAGTACACTTTTTACATGAATGCATTAATAAATACTTAATAAAAAATTATAAAAGCATAACCACCTCTACAGTATAACAAACACCTCTTCCTCATCACAACCCCTGCACAATGGGCTGTCAGTCAGTCTCATTAATGTGCAGGTGTTCCGCCTGTGACCATTTCTGTCGCAAGTTTGATCTTCATCTTACTTAGCTTTAAGATGGACGATGCTCATTCTCGGTTGGGGGTGCCAGAAAGATCTTGGAATGATTCTGTCCTGGAATTTTCTACCAGTGTCTTTCGCAAGTTTTGCATAAATCTTCTTTTTCACTGTGTCATATGTAATCCCACAGGCCGGTTTGGGTCCATACTTTCGCGCTTGCCGCTCTCGCAAGTTCACCTGCAACCTGGTTGCCTTCGATCTGCCTAATGCGTTTCATGGACTAGTCCTGAATCTACTATAAACGAGTCTAATCAAAGTCGAAGACTTTATGGTTGTTGTATGCACAAAGCGTTTGGTACTTTTTTTCTGATACTGCCATTCTTTCAGGTGTGAGATGTGTTGCCTAACCGTAGGGGTATGTTACCACCCACATATTGCAAAGAGTTCAAGAAAGAGCAGAAAATGTAATACCATCAGCTTCATTTGCAGATTATAAACGCTCCACGAATACCTGCTTTGCAAGTGACTGAAACTGATGTGTGATCAAAAGTTCCTAAATAGTTCATACATATTTACACAATTTTTGAATTGATTTACAATAGTAGTAGTAGGGAGGCAACATGTTACAGTGTTTTGAATGTGGAATTGAGTTAATACAATAAATTTTAAAGACTCACCACTGTGGTGGTCCTTCGAAAATTTGAATTAAGCGTTTTTAATCGAGCGAAATTAGCTATTCTTGATGAATTTTACGACTTGAAACGTAGCCAGGTACTTCTCAGAATTTAACAAAATATTTAATATAGTGACACATGCAAACAGCTTTTTTTTATTATTCCTTGCATATAATTAATGTACTGCTTAATTTGATGACAGAAAATTGCATCACTATATCCGGTTGTGTAATAATAGTATGTAAGTTCCTGCACAAGAAAGATGATTTACCACTTGCTACAAATTTCGGTTTCTGATCACTAAAAATAGGGAGTCTCTGGTATTGCCTTAAGTCGGTTATGACCATTCCAGTAAGAAACCTCCAAAGTTTAAAATTAAATTACATCAGATGCCAGTGAGTTTTGGCAGAAAACGATTTTTGTGTAAGTAAGAGATACTATGTTGTATATTTTATTAATTGAAAACAACCAAAGCGAAATTATATTTAACAACGCTTTCTATTTAAATCAAAATCGAAATAGTCAACAATCGAATCACAGTTAATTTGGTAAGAACTTGTATAATGTGCATCAAAGATTAAATTAATGGAAAAGTGTCGCCTGTAGTACTTTGTAAGTAGAGATAGTAGGTATTCATGTTACTTGTAGTAGCAGAAAACACTTCAAATTATGACGAATGTGTCTGTGCGACAGGGATGATTTTTGGCTTTTAGTGTAATGGTTTGGTAATTGGTAGGCAAATTATTTGCCGATTTAATAATAACTTAATTAGATTATTTATAATTTGCAGAGCCCAGGGCCTATTTTAAGTAAAAGAATGCCAAGTGAAATATTTGCTAGAAAGCAGTCAAGATCAGAACACGGAACAGAAAATATTGAGTACCAATTGTACTATTTTAAAAGTTAATCCTGGGTCTTTAAACGTTTCATGACTAATACAAAAACTGCAGGCAAGCAGTATGGTAATCATCAAAGATCACCATCAACATTTTAATGATACACAAATGCCAATTTTCAGCTGTCTGTGGGCTGTTATTCTATAAATTAAAAATAACTTGACCCTCTACTGATGAGCTTTTTAAAAGTATTTAGAGAAGGCTGGGTGCCCACGAAAAGTCCCGATAATCAGTCATTTTCTAACATTAACACTCCTTTTAATATTTTTAACACCGGTATAATCGACTAACACATTACACACAATTATATCATTTTTATGAATAAAATGACAACGAGGAAACACTATTGGCAGCATGTTCTGTTTACCTATTTTTATTAGTAAGGGAATGTCCTCTTCTGCGGGAAAAAAATGAAATGAGGTATAGTATAAATAAAATACATTTCAGGTGCACGTGCCTATAAATATAAAAATACGAACAAAATTGTCAAGGTCACGCGAAAACTGTTACGAATTTACTCTTATCCACAAATGCCAGGGTATTGGATAAAATTAGACTATTGTGAAACAATGGTAATATTTGCCATCATCCTACGTTTTTTTTGGTCAAGAGAATAAAACTGAATTTAATTGTTCAAAATTATAAATAGTCAAGTTGAATAATTACCGATCCAAAAATACAAGACCTGCGTTTCAAATCCGGCGCTCTATATTTGACAATAATTAGAAATTGTGCTTTGCAAAAAAAGATTCAAGGGCTACTTCGTGTTACTTTTAATTTATTAGTGTAAGATATTTGGCAATGATCGCTTTGGCGAAGAAATCACAATGCGTTCATTAAAAACATAAATTAATTTTGGATGTCTGGATGATAATGAAATAATACTAATGAAGATGCTCTTATTTATACCTACCCGGTTTAGATTGACAAAGGCGTTAAAGATAATGAGCAGTCCGTATTTTCGTTCATCTAATGCGTGCCAAAACATTAGTGAGCGGGTAGGCATTATTTGACACCTAATTTAAGAAAATTGCGGTGAAAATTGTGTGTAAATCTGGCCCATTGTGACACAGCAAACTGGCGATAATTTAAAGTAAGTGCACGTTAGAAGTACTCAATAAATATTAACAGGTGTAGTATATGTGCCATTAGGCAGAAAATAGCGCCCTATTTTATTCTATTGAACACTGGCTGAGATATTTTAAAACTCCTGGTGTACCTATGTACTGATGAGGCCTTTGCAATTTATACAATGCGCTTTGGATAAAATGTGAGAAACTAATGACATCTGTGGTTAAATAAATAAAGAAGTCAGCAACTTGTTCAACTGAAGGCAGATTCTCAATTCAAATTTGGCGCTTTGATTATTGTTGATTTCCTTGTTTCTTAGCCCCCCAAGGGTGCTTCAATGTACTCCAAGAGTCAGTTTACCATTGTCCATTCCTTTACGCTAGCTAGGAAAATCCACCCTTCTTGAAAGAAATCCAACGGCCAAACAAACGTCCGGTCTTGAAGCTACAGCTAGGAATAGAAGCGACCCAATAGCTTCACAGTCTTGCACAAATTAAAGAAATGTAATTTAACATGGCAAAAGGCAACAGGACATTTTCAATATCTTTCATAGCAACACATTACCATTCGAAATCATTAAGGGCTGGTTATTTGATTTTTCCATCGATACAAAAATTGAGGACCCTAACAACCAAACACATACATGTAGGTACGGTCATTGACAAAAGTAATGACCGCCTAATAGGTAAACTTTGCAACCTAAACAACCGACGTGCCTCGATGCACGGTTACACAGGAAGCTTCAAATGTCAAATTATATTTGACCAATTTTTCGCATCTCGCCAAATAAGAGAGATATTGAGATGGCCCTCTTATCTCAAACGCACTGTATAGTAAGTTGTAATCACGCGTTGTGCTTTGCTGCGTACTGAGGTCAAAATACAGAAAAATTATTTGGTGAAGTTTCGTTTAGGTTACCACCAAAGCAAGAAAAAGCATTTGAAGTGCATGAATAAAATTTAAAAAAATACAAAAACGTTCAAAATTAATAGCTTTATAATATATTCATCCTCAATTACTTAAAATAAACAATTATCCCTCCAGCTAGCGTGTTTTTAAATACCCATACCATCCCAAAAACGATCCAGACAGGATCAGCCCACTCCTGCAACAAAACCGGCTATAGATAGCGTATATTTACACAGAAGTGCTTACCAAAAGAACGCGCTCGCCACAGGCGAATGCCTCAAAAAACTGTATTGCTGTATTACAAAATCCGGGTGAGACTGAAACTTTCTTAGAATCCTGCGAGCGCTAAACAAAATGCCACAATAAATTATAATAGAAGAAGATTAAATGCATCGGTTGTAGATTTAAAATACCAGTTGCAATATGTTCATACTATTATTAGGTGGAAAATAACAGATAAAAGTTTTGTTATTGCCAACTTGGCATGTTATTAATAAGTAGCAGGTGCTTAATAGTCTTGCCTAAAGAAATTTAATTAAGAAGGACTTCACAGTCTGGTAGTGTAACTATCAAGGGAGGGGTGGTATAAATAGATATACAATACAAGTTTGTTTAGCTAACTTAAAAAAAAACGTAACTACTGAACCAGATAAAGAATAGACACTTACCTGCCAAAATTATCCACGGCTACTATTGCACGCTGACCATTTGATGAATATGGCTTTACCTCCACAAATCCACAGCTGCTCAGCAGGGATGTAACCTAGAGAGTTCTTTATTGATTTAGTCTGTAGGTGATATACCAAAAATTTTATTTGGAAAGAATAATGGTACGTCTATAGTTACATTAGAATTACCCTGTCCATATTTTCGAAACGCAGTAATACATTGTTATCTTTTTGCCTCGCTTTTTGTCTGAGACAAAAATTGACAGTTGAACTTCACCATAAGCCACTTATGTGTGCCACATACCATTTAGTTTATAGCAATTCCATGCACATTTATAGCTTACCATTTATGGTGGTTTTTTAATGAACTATATTGACTGCAGTTGCTATTTAAACAACAATTTTGATGAGAAAAATAATTAAAAAATGGAGCAAAATTGGTAAATGTAGCAAAATTTGGGCGAATGTGGCAAATTTCGAATAAAATGTGGCAAATATAATATAGATCCAAAGTGTTAAATGTGCTGTTCAGTGGGCCCTATTCTGATTGAGACTGCATCTCAGCGGTTTTTAAAGATAGACACGTGCTGTCTTTGCGACCCTGTGCCACTTTTTTGTGAAACTTTTAGACCACAAACAGAATAAGTCTAGCTACGTTTGTTTCTGAGATACAGGGTGAAAACGAAAACTGCCTCAGAAATAAACATAGCTAGATTTTGTGGTAAGATGGTATTAAAAGTTTCACAAAATAGTGGTACAGGGTCGCGAAAACCGCAAGTCGCTATCTTTAAAAACAGCTGAGATACACTGCAGTCTCAACTGCTACTGCAACTAAGGGGGCTTTTTTCAGTATCATTTTATGAGTCATTTTTTTGATTTCCTAAAAAATCCAGTTAAAAAATCAAAATAGGCCTATGACAAATTCAGGGTTCGCAACTGATTTTAGCAAAAAAATAGAGACTTGGTCTCTAATTACATATTTAAAAATAGAGACCATTTAGAGACCTTCGAGAGCCAATTTCCATACAAAATTAAGCAAAAAATATTTATTTTGTAATAGATGAGACATAGACGGCAATATATCTAAACAACTATAAATTGTGCACAACTCTTGTGAGGATAAAACGCATTTTTTAACCCAAATAGCTTTTTCTTGACTTCACCAATGGATATATTCCTTGCAGACGTCCCAATGGCCCTTTGTGAGTACCCTCTTCCGACAATCCGTTCTCGAGGTATAAGGGAATATACCCGATCGCGATAAGAGGTCGAGGAGGAGGGCTATGGTTGGTAAAAATTAAGTCCTTTCGTTGAGACCTTTCATTAGAGTACCATGAAGGATAAAACTATTCCCCCCCCTGCCCCTCCACACCCTACTTTGATAAGAGGACAGAAAGAAGAGCAGTAGTTGGTAGAAAACGGTTGATTCGTTGAGACCAATTGGTTGTCGTATGTAAAAGTTATGTACGTTTTACTTTCAAAAACAGCATCTCAGGAAATAATTCGTGTGGGGGGCGGGGCCCTTTTAGACAGCGAAATTTGGTGGCCGTCTGGCACACCTTCAAAGTATAGGCTACCTACGGCAAAGAATTCCAGGACTACCTACCATTCTCCTAGAAGTAGTTCGAAACGGCAGAAGTGGGTCCGGACGGACCAAACGCATTTTTTTTAATTCTTAAAAAATGCGCTAAAAATGTAAAATTTCTGCGGTTTATCAATTATGAATTATACTTTTTTAACATGCAAAATTTAGAGACTTTAGAGACCAAATATGAAAAATAGAGACTTTTAGAGACCAGCATTGAAAAAAGAGACCAATGTCTAAGAAAGAGACCATTTGCGAACCCTGCAAATTTTGCACGTGTACTCAGTTTTTCATCCTGAAAACTTTTCTTAATAACATTCGTGCGCATCTCGTCCCAAAAGAACACCTTACTGGTATGGCAAAATTTTTTTTTGAAAATTTCAAAGACACCCTTGCTATTCTAAGCTAAAATTATGTCAAAAATTAGTTTCCAACCAAGCAGGCATGATGCCCAGAAGCTCAAAAATCAATGCGACAATTTTTTATCTTTTACACGGACACTGACTACCACAATCATACTTTATGTCTACCAATATAAATTATAAAATTGCATGGTAAGTCAGAATTTTGCAGTTTAAATTGGAACTACTAAAAATGCCTTTTCCTTACCTTGTTAATATCGACAGGTCGCCGTGTAAGTCCTTGCACGATCAATCTCGGCGGTCTTCTCGACTCGGGGTCCTCGCCGTCAAGTTGCTAAAATTGACTATAGTCCCAAATGTTGATCAAGTCCGCTCTAACTTACAATAAACGACAAATGTCCTCGAGCGATATAAACTCTATTTTCAAACTGACTAACGGCCTGCAGTAACTCGTTGCACATGAACAATTTCCGTCTCACCTGAGATTTTTGGGCGGCGCACACGTGAGCCAAACGTATAAAAATGTAACCCGTACAAAACGAGTCCCAACCGGCGTTATGAAAGGTACCGCTATTGCAACCTTGTAGCTGGATGAAGGGAGATTGCGGCGCTAAGTGGCGACCGGGCCCATCTTTGAAATACAAATAGACACTTGCCAAACCCGTCTTTAATTTTTGTTTATCGTTCAGTATGTTTCTGTACACTTCAAACGTTATGTACTTAGTATCGAAAATTTTTGGGAACAGTGAATGGACCGTTCGTTTAAACAACAAGTAAGATTTCGGTAAAGGTGTCTCAAAATGATGGATAAGCAACATTAAATCAAAAAATAAATTATGTCCGATAATTGGTTTCTTTGACAATACCAACAAACGAAACACTCTGGTAAACCCCAATAGATTAGACAATAGTTCTCCATGCAGTTTGTCATTTTTAATCAACTCAAGACACTTTTCTTCCGAGACTCGCTGCACTTTAAAGCCCTCATCGTCCTCAAAGGTCCATAAGCCTCTAAACCGACTTCTCAATTCCCGATGACAAAAGTATTTTAAGTCATAATTATATTTAAACGATTCTAAATATTTCAAAATCAATTCTTCAGTATCTTTATCATTGTTCAACCAATTTTCTACACTTTGACAACACTCATCTAGGAGATCCTCCAAGACCATGGACTCCGAATTGCTGCCGATGCAAAAACTGTCCGCCTCCCTCGCTACTTCCTCCTCTTGTACACGGTTTAAGTACGGAATACCCTCATATACCAACTGAAATAGGCACAATGTAAGTTCAGAGTTTTCCAATTTTTGATCTTACCTTGTTAAAATCGAAGTTATGCAACGAGAGAAATTGAAAGGAGGCGGCCTGCGACACGAACGCTATGTTGGCAATTACGGAAGTTCTGGGAAATGTGTAGAAGGTGTACGGGTGGCCTTTGTACGTGTTGGAATCGGGATCGAAAGTGTACGCCGTCAATCCGAATTGAAACGGAATTATTTGCTGAACGGTCGTCCGTAATTTGGAATATCTGTCTTGTGCTGAATCGAACAGACTAAAAAAACCATAAGGTTTTCGTTATAAAGAAGATTATAGGTACTCCAAATCCCTAAACTAACACTAAGGCTACACACACCCCCGCCCCTTTCATGAATTCCAAAAGAACTATTGAAGAATTTGATTGAATTGGCATAATCATTTTCCAAAGATCTTATACTTAATGAGGTACAAAAATATTTTTTGCAAAAGGAAGTCAAATAACTATCGTCCGCCATATTGGGGCCAATTATGAATATAGCACAATTTTTTTAAAACCTTAACAAGAATATAATGAAAATGAAATACATCTTTATAAAAATTAATTTCTAGACAATATTTTCATTAGCGTTTTGCATTTAAAACACCGTAAAAATGGCAATATGGCCGACGAGCATATCAGTATAAATGCCAGAATTGTATTGTTACGCCACTGCCTTGTAGGTTAGAATTAACTTACCTATTTTCTAAATTACTAGAAGCTGTTAGGCAACTGAATTCTGTATCTATTGCAATTAATTTTGCACTTTTTAATAGATTTTCTAATTCTGGAAGAATTTCGTTAAAGTTTTTTAAAGTCACTTCACACATTTTAAAGATCAGGGACTTAAAATGTAATTAATTAACTTAGTTTACACCTTTTCTATATGAGTAGAGCACTTGTTGTTATTCTAATTTTAATTCACGTTTCGTTTATTATTGGAAATGTAAATATAGAATTTTTTAATTTTGTAGAATAATAAATGTTTACCCCCCTTTTCTGTACTTGTGCCACTGCTGGACTGTGGTTCCCATCCCACATTGCGTACCACAGAATATACACAAAAATCCACGGGAAAACTACAAACGTATAAATATACAAGGCTACAAAGAATAATTTTGAATTTATTAGGATAATAGGATGGTATAATGTGTATACCTCCTGCACCTCCAAATACAATCTAAAACTCTAGCACAGACTGGCCCTCGTTCCAGGAGTACAAAAAAGTGGATTGTAATTGAAAAAAAAAGGTATTGGTGTTCATTTAATCCCCCCCCCCCATTTTTTTTCGCGGCACGTCCTGTTATTTGAGGCAGCATATCTGGTCACCTTGTCCAAAAACAATGTGAGGCCACCTTTGTGTCTACTATGACTGGAGTGATTCGCCCCCCCCCCCCCCCCCCCAAGATCACTAGACTGTAGTCTATTGTGCCATGCAGATAATCCTCCTTGGTGAGGGAAAACTCAATTTTTGGTGGTCGGCTATGAAGAAGCACGCAAGCTATACATATTAGGTACGTCCTTTCACTTTTCCCAGTCTTTTAATCAAGAATATGCAAAAAATGATCAAAGTCCTCCTGTGAGATCGAAGGGACTTCAGCGCATTTTTGTGTGGCAGATCAGTATTCTATTAGCCACTTTCGACTCAACCATCAATAACAGATCTTGTCGAAGACTACTACAACCGTTCCCCACTTTCCACGTGCACCCGCAATTCGCTTTTAATTTTAAAGTTAAAATCGTGTCGGGGGCTACCACATTCCCTTTGACGGTAGCCACTTCCGACGACCAGTTCACCCGCAATTCGCTTCTATTGGCGACACGAGAAACAGAGACAGCGATTCGAGATTTACGAAACGTTAAACCGTGTGAGTTCGCAACGGAAGGTAAAAGGCGTCCGAAGTTGACTACTTCTCGAAGACGCGAGCGCGCCTCGCAAAAGGTCGTTAATTTCGCCGCTAGGACAAAAAACAAAATTCCGCCATGCAGGAGTTGTGCGCGTTTACAACATCTTTCCGACGACATCAATTTGAAAAGAATCGGACCAAAACTGTAGTAGAAGATAGGAAAAAACTGAAAAACCTTCACGTTAGTATACTACGCTCGAGGATGACGCCCAGATGTCGCCAACCCCACATCATGTAGCCATGTCTCTCAGGTTGACAAATTTCACGGCCTTGTAGATACACGTACACCCGTTGCCTTTCTACAAGAGTTCTTCTACGCGCCCACATTTGCAGCCAGCCAGCCAGCCAGCCAAAGTGAGATTAAAAGCTACTTTTTACAAATAAATTTGCAAAAATGCGCTAAAAATATGTTAATAATTAAATCAAACGGGATTAAATAGTAAAAAACTGGAGATGCCGGGGATCGAACCCGGGGCCTTTCACATGCAAAGCGAACGCTCTACCACTGAGCTACATCCCCGATAAAACAAACGTTTTTACAATATGTTGTAATTGTGCCATCTATTGTTATAAATTAATAAAAAAAGACGTAATTGTTTAATAACTGCATCAATCAAAAGCTGTCAAAGATACTTATAAGCCCACAAGTAGGGCACACTTAAAATAAATATGCAAAGCTTTTACTCGTTGCCAAAATTATAAACAAGATGAAACAATGCGGAGTACGATGGGGCCAAATTTTTGAACCACATTTATATAAATCACCCGTTGACAAGTTGGAGGTGATTAAAACAAGTTGATTGTACGTTTCACGCAATTGCAAACTGGAGGAAAACGCGCGCTCGTTATTTTCACTAGCCAGACGTCCTGTGAAATGCACCAAAAAAAAATCTTACACGAAAAGTATTTTAGGGAATACAGTTTTGGGGGTATAAAAATGCACGAAAAAAGTGCGCCTTTTTTAATCGGGGAGCTTTGGACAATTTAAAAATTACATCTACAGTACTGTTAAAGCAAAAGAGTGAGGAAAATCCCGGGTTTTGGCGTCCTGCCAGAATCGTGTATCCCATTTGCGACAGGTAGTAGTAGCACCGAGATTATAAAAACCTCAACATTTGCATTTGGTCAGCCGTCTGTTTAACAACTATTAGAGTGAACTTCTCGCATGGGGTGCTAAAAGGGCACTTGTGACCGTTTAGCTAATCGTTTTATAGTGATCGCCGACGAGTAGTGTCACTAGGGACCACATTTTTGTTTGTGTAGGGGTAAGTTGAAAGTGAATCAGTGAAGTGAGCCTAAATCAAGATCGAAGAAGTACCCTTTGGATATTACACGGATTATTATTTGCTTAAGTAACGGACTGGGAAAGTATGTTTTTGGGGTGGTTTTTCGCGCGCAATTACATAACAGCTGATTGCGTTCAGAATGACGTTCTTTTTTTGTTATATGAGCCAAAATACTATCTAAGTGCGGATTTTCTCGTCGACTTTGCTTATTGGCTCGTCCAACGAGCCCTTGCCAAAATAATTATGAAAGTCGCGTCGTGCTAAAAGCGTCCGCTGGCGCGCTGGCAAGGCGCCCGAACAGGGAAGGCTGCGTCAGTCAGTTGTACGCCGTTTGACGTCGTATGTTCTCAAAATAAAGTTTTAAAGTTATGTAAAGCGAAATATCCTTCTGTCGCAAAAGAGAAATTGCAGCGCCGCGCGTACAAATTCGAAAATTTGCGCGCTCGCGACGCACCGTCACATGATCAAAGCTGTCCAATCACAGGCATCCACATGCTATAACGTTCAATTGTTTCCTAAACGTCAACTTCACAGTAGTACTGTCAGTTCTACAGTTGCGTGGTGTTAGTACTCACACGTTTTGCTTTTGTTTCATTTCACAGAAATAACAAAAATTTAGGTTATATCACACCACTTTTTCTTATACAAAAGACGCCACGTTTACTCACAGTTTTTGTTGAAAATTAGTGCGTTTGTGCCAAAAAGTGATATTTTCGAGTATTCCTTATTTTATATAATGTCCAGTGCGAGTGTTTTCAGTGAGAAACTTACTGTCATCTCGTAGTTGTTGAACCCACGTGAAGCTTTTAGTCAAATATTTACCTAATTTATCACAAACTCTGTTAGGATTTATGCTGTTTTATAGAACGGTGAGTTCTTAGCGCGACACGCTGTTAAATTGCGAAATCTTGACCACGTCAGTCAAATTTGAGGTTAATCCCTCGAAGACTTATCCCCACAATCACACTTTACCAGTCCCTCTACGAGCCACCCCGTTAATCGGCTGTTAAATTTTTTAGAACACAAACCCGACACCATGGAGGATGGCCACATGAAAAGCGTGGACGAGGTAGTCAAATATTTTTCCGTAGACCCAGAAAGAGGATTAACGTTAGATCAAGTCAAAAGGAATCAGGAGAAATACGGACCTAATGGTAAGTACCGAATCATTTCGTAGGTTATAAGAAGCAAGGTACACCGAGGACTATGACCGTCCACGGATATTAGTTAAATAGGTGCGAGATTGCATAATCAATGTTTTTCCTCTGATACTGTCAAGCTTGCCGCCCCTTTAACGAGCTGATGAATAGAGAGTTGAATTGGTTCAAAGTGAAATTCGTGCCATGGGAATTTTTGGAACAGTAACTGTATTTAATTGACAGTTCCACTAAATCCATGTTAGATAGGTACAATTGGTATATGACAATTTTAAGTGGTGATTATTTTCATACCTCTCTTTAATTAAGAAAAAGATGTGTCATTACAAGCAGTGAATATTGTAAATAAATATATTGGTTGCGAGAAAAATCAGTGCTTTTTGAAATATGAACATCTTGAGCAATTGTTTTTGATTCTGCATGCATGATTGTGATTGTTTAAGTACAATTTTTCAAATTTTGGTCCCTACTAGCCATGTGAAAATGAAAAACAGTGATAATCACACATCACAAATTCAGTAGGTATGATCTCTTAAGGAGGAATAAGTAAGGGATATAAATGAAAGTGCGTTGACATTATCTGTATTTTTTTATTTCTATGGCAAGGTAACTGAAACCAATACAAAGTCAGTATTTTTGTGTTTTTAAAAAATCTCTTTCAGGAATAATTTTTAAAATATTTCAGTAGCGCACATAAGACCCATGTTTGCCATTAGTGTGAAAAATAACCCAAAAAACCTTTATTGTGAGACTTCGGACATTAAATAATTGAATATTGTAATTTTTTAATTTCTTGATTCATTAATTTCTGGGATTAAAATTATTCTAGGAACGAATGTTTTTAAACGATGTACCACTATATTATTATGACAGTTCTACATTTAAATAAAAACTAAAACAAACCAACTAAAAACAAACATTTACATTTTTTGGTATGGGTATGAAAATATGTGAGGGGAATTCAGTCTCAAAAAATCTATTGGTCGCCAAGAAGTATATGGGTTATAGCTTGTGTTTGATTAGTCTAAAATGGTCGCGCATGCTCAACAGTATAGCCGGGGTGAGGGGGCTATCGGGGCTCTGGCCCCCGCAATGCATCAACTGGTAGTATGAATTTTTTAGGAAGTTTTCAATTGTACATTTTTTTCGTTTTTGTGCAAAAAATTACAGATGAAAATTTTGAAAAATTAGGTTTGGTATCGTTACTTATGTCAGACAACGGAATTTTTTGAAAATTTGACAAGAGCAATTCATCTAAAATATTTTTAAATTGGTGGCACTTCCTCTTATACCCAAAGTTGCTATTAGGTATGGTTTCAAAAATTTTTGCTTAGTTGGCGTCGAATTAAATATTTTGAAAACAGTAGTTAAGGCTTCGGACGGACGGAGAAAGTAGCCATAATAGCGCCTTCCAACATACTCGCCAACATATATTGGAAAATACGCTAAAGGTGTTCAAGGAACTTCAAAAAATATATTTCATCCATTTGAAAAGGCACAATATACTTATACAGGGTGTGGCATCTAAGACCCCTCGTCCCCTCTTTACCATAAAGGTACGCTCAAACCGACGCGAGAATGCGGGAGCGCGACGGACGCGTGATATACATGCGAACCGCCGCATCGGTATGCATACTTGCATATCCCGCTGTACATTAGGAAAAAAAAATTTTATGTTCGGTTCAACCCCTCGTTGTTTTATTTGTAGTAGACACAACGTTTTAATAAAATAATAATAATACTATCCCGCGTCCCTCCCGCTCCCATTTCTGCATTCCCGCAAAACATATCGAAGAAATGTTCTGGTCACCAGTGGCGTATCAAACTTAGGTTTTTTGAATTTGGAATGCTCCATATTTTATTGAAGAAATGGAAAAAAATTATTTTTATTCAACATGATACTCTTAACTTCAACGATTTCGCCATTTTTTTTGTAAATTTGACCGTTTTTCGAAATTTTTTTTCAGAAAACCTTTTCCACCGTCACTGTCAATGTTGAAAGCGAGGGGCAAACCACTTCAAATTTTGGGTACACTAAAATTCTAAAAGAAGTTCTAAACAATTCTGACTATTCTAAAAAAATTCTAGAACATTCTTAAAAATTCCTACAAAATTCTACTGCTACTGCTAGTACACTAACATTCTAAAAGAAATTCAAAAAAATTCTAGACAAATATAAAAATTGTTTAAAATAGTAATTGTGTGGTTTGAAAAAAAAAAACTAAAAATAAGTACTTAAGAAGTACTTATTTTTTTGTGTAACATTTGAGCTAACCTTGTACCTTTAACTTCAACGATTTCGCCTTTTTTCTGCTAAATTTGACCGTGAGTATTGTAAAAATATTCCAGAATCTAGAATATTCTAAAAAATTCCTATAAAATTTTACAAAATGCTAGTAATGTACACCAAAATTTTACAGTGATTTTCCCTTGTGGTAAACCACCTCAAATGTTGTGTATTGTAAAATTCCAAAAACTTCTAAGTAGGTATTCTAAAAAATTCTGTAAAATTCTCTGAAAATTCTACAAAATGCTAGTAGTGCACACCAAAATTTGCAGTCATTGTCCTTCGTGGTAAACCACTTCAAATGCCGTGTACACTAAAATTCTAAAAAAAATTCCAACAAATTTTAAGGATTATAAAGAAATTCTACAAGATTCTATAAAATTCCTTCAAAATTCGAATTCTTTTTTGGTATCCGCGGAAATGTTGTAGTTTCGACTATCGAGGGTTATAATTTGTTTCAAGGGGGGGGGGGGGGCATTTGAAATTAAAAAATATTATTACTTACATTGGCGAAGGTCAATAAAAAAATTTTTTTTCGATAAAGGACTTCAAAAAATTATGTGAAAGTGGAAGAGGCCTGTATTTTCAGATATTTCTTCAAAATTCGATTTCGTTTGAGCTAAGAAACTGACTTGTAATTACGTTGTTTTGTGGAGTGTTTTAGATTTTAATACCCGAGGTCCATAAAAATAGACGATTTTTTATCGTTTGGTGGGAATCCTGATATTTCATTGTTAGTACCACCTACTTTAAAATCAAGGCCATATAATCACCGCCAAAATGAAATAATTCAAGATGTTTGGACTTTGGAGGTCGTTAGCAGTTTGGAATTGTCTCGTGTTTTGTTGACAAATGTATACATATACATACTGAACATGTGAAAGTAAAAAAGTATCTACCAGCCATTTTAGTGTTTCTTCCAGGGTTCCGATCTTCATCGCATTCCACAGGCCAGCAATCATATTCTGACATGTGTGAAATTCAGGGGGAGTAACCCAATCGGAGAGTATCGGTTTCGTAGATTTTTTTTGAATTGCATAATATAATTAGCAATAATTATGATTAAGGCTTATTATACAGGGTGAATTGTCTAGAACACTTATATCTTCCAAATAGCGTTTTTAAAGAAGCTTTTTGTAGTATTCAAAAATAAAAGGCTTGCTAAAAATCTACGTATTTTAAATTTGTGGTCAGTGGCGTACTTCTGCATGGCCAAGGGCGGCTTTTTTTAATGACATCCACTGGTTTTTATCATATATTATACAGAACCTGAACTAGAAGTCCCTCGAAGAATCCAAAAATATAATTGTAAAAGTGTTTTGATTGAGAAATATGAACAACATGAACAAAAGTTTCAACGAAAAGTGTTTTTTTAAATTTTTTACTAAAGAAGCAAAAAGAATTTGTTCGTCTGAGGACTTAGGGAGATGAATTTGAGGACATTCCCTCGTCTTCGGGTCGCTCGGCATCGTTTTGTACCCACACAACGAGTGACAGACACATTTTAAAAAGAAGTCACTGTTGCTCCTGCCCGACTGCCCGGAAACTGCAATGATCTTTAATGGTTTTCCAAATGATACTTCAATCGATTAGCTGATACGAGTCATTCGAGAACATTCACAAACAAGTTTTATCTGGGCTGATAACGTGGTTAACATTCGATTGATGATACACGTCATCATGTGAAATGACACAATTTTCTACGTATCAAGGTCACTAGTGATATGGAGCGAAATTCTCTGACGTAGCAATCGTTTTGATTCACTACGGAGCTAACGCATAAAAATGGATACAAATCTATATAAAATTCCAAAAATAGTTCCTCCAAGGTAACGAACAAAACTCTGGCTCGGCCAGAGTATTTAGGTAATAAAAAAAATGCTGTAAAATTGTAAATTGGCACAATTATGGTATGCAATTTGGCACGATGATCAATAAAATAGCCCTGAATTGACAGTAATGTTGTAACATTTATTTATAAATTATGTCCATTACACATATTTACCTTAGCGTCTTTTTTTTTCTTCGCCCCAACAATCGGGGCGTCAAAGAAACAGCTGTCAAGTGGACGTCAGCTTGATTGACTTTGTGTAAATGGAGGGCGATTGTTCAAAGAAAATCGCGCCCACGCCCGTACTGTAGGTGTAAACGGATCTCGAGGAAGGCATCAATTATCGAAATCATTGTTGATCAAATGAACAAATATTGAGGTGGCGACTGGCCAGCTGCACTCTTTTAAGATGCGGGTCAAGTTTATTTGGCAGCCGGTACTCGATTTTTCGAGAGGCCCTTTTTTGATAAATTGCCTCATCTCGACGCTGGCTCGAAGTGCAACAAGAAAAAATAATGATTGCAAATAGTATTCAGGGTATTTATAACAAGTTGGACGCCATCCAAGTCTCCTGACCAAAATATAATTAACGAATTTCGACAAATGATGACAATTTCTTTTCTCTTATTCGTCAATACATCCTAATAGCCTAAACTTCGTATCAAAAAGACCGAATCCTTCGTCTTCGGGATGTGCATTTTTTATACACCAATCTCGCTAGGAAAACGACCAAACTGATCCATCTACTTTTTTGGTGTCCAATACGTTCTGTGCATATTTATTTTGGCGTCCAGTATTTTTGTGCTTACCTTTCTGTCAATCCGTTCGGGTCGTTTCGAAAACAAATCTACGTCTAAGACATTAGCCCAAATATTTGTG